TCTCTCTCTCTCTCTCTCTCTCTCTCTCTTTCTCTCTCTCTCTCTCTCTCTCTCTCTCTCTCTCTCCTCTCTCTCTCTCTCTCTCTTTCTCTGTCTGTCTCTCTGTCTCTCTGTCTCTCTGTCTCTCTCTCTTTTGTCTCATTTTTATTTCATTTATTCATATCTCACTACACACACAATGCTTAATTAATTCATTTTTAAATTCCTTTTTTTTTTAACTTTTTGTCTTTTTCATTGTCGTTCTCTCTCTATTGCACTCATATTCCAGAACAATCAATCTTGTCTCTAATTATTTATTAATTATAATTTATTATTATTATCAAAGCTCTTTCGTTGTTTTTCTTATTATTAATATTATTAATATCTTTGTTCTTATTTTGTCTAATGTCTTATTTTCATATTGTAAATTGTTAAAAATTAAAATAAAATTTTGATCAATTGAAATAAGGTTATATATGTATCTCATTCCTGTTAACCTGTGTTGCTTAATGACTTGTGAAAAGCAGCACAAACTGTGTGTTATATCACAACTGTGTCATTATACTCTAGCTATATTTAGCGATTCTTATGAAATGAGGGTTAATTTATTCTCTCATGATTATTATTATTATTATTGACAATGTTAAATATTTGCTAAATCATGTGACAGTTTTTTGATGTACATGTGTTATGAAAACATTGTAAAATGTGTATTAAGATACAATAACTCAATTCTCCTTAATGGCTTTTGATTAACTTCTCTCTCTCTCTCTCTCTCTCTGTTTCTCCACTCCTAAGTTCGTGCACTCTTGTTTCTTCATTTTATATTACAATTATACCTTGCACCAATGCCATATCAATTACACATTGGTGTCCTTCCTGTTGATCAGACGCTAATGAAGCAGCTGTGTTTGGTTATACTAATCCCACCACTGTGTAGCAATGGTTTACAACCATCAACTCTCTCCCTCTCTCCCTCATGCCACTGGCAATGTATAGAAGTCCTAGTATGTAACATGTGTAGACTGTAAATATAATTCCTCATTTATGTGTGTACACATTACACAAGAGGGTACAGTGAAACCTGCTATTGTGGACACTCTAAAATAAGGAGACCTCTATAATCAGGACAGGTAGTATCAGTCCCAATACAATAGTAATGTGTATTAATGAACCTCTGAAATAAGGACACCTCTATAATGAAGACAGTTTTATTTGGTCCCAAGGTGTCCGGAATAGACAGGTTTGACTGTATATCCATTATGGGGTACATGTATGTATGATCTATCATATGTATATGCATGTATATGTATCATTGTTGTTGTGTCATATAGTAGGATCTGTTGTCATTCTCAGACTATCATTTCACAATTACTCTTTGTGTCACATGTGTAATTAAATCATACATGTACATGCATGTACATGCATATGTGTACAGTGTAATTGGGGACATTGTGGTCATGAGCATGACACTGTGTATATATGCTACCCTCTTCCCTTTTATAATATATTTATATTAATGATTGTCACAATTTGTCACTTATTATTGTTGTTGTTATTATTATTACCATTGCAAGTGTGCATGCAAATCAAAGTATTTAAGTATTTAATTATTATTGTTGCCTATAAATATTGGCAATGTTTGCTAATTGTTTTAGGATGTTACTGTAAACAAACTTCATATTAATCCTTTTTAAAATTAGTCAAAGGTATCCCGCCCTGTGTGCATGAGTCTATATGTACCTCTTTCTCTTTTCAGTCTTCACATTCATCATCATTTCTCCTTTCATAATAATTATACTCCTTCTTTCCAAGCCTGTCATGTACCATTACACACACATATCTACACAAGTTCTTAAATAAGTGATGTCCTCATGTCTGTACTCTGTCATTTTTGCTGCTTCAAGGGGCAACCGGAAGAAGAGGATGAGTAACTGGATCTATGGTACACATAATAATAGTCCATGGCCAGTGGACCATGACAATCATCACACGCACTTCCCTGGGCGCCCAATTATGAGAATCACTCCATGTGCACCTGCTTATTATAACAGTTTGTAATGTGTGATGACTGTCTGATAATAAGCGGTGAAGGCAGCTAATGTACATAGTTTATACGTATGTACATGTAGATGTATGCATGTGTATGTTACAGTAATGTAGTTATGCATGTTTTTTCATGTATAGTATTACCTTTTATATGGTGTGCTCCTAGTGGCGTCTCAGTTATATTGTTGCTTGTTGTGTGTGGAGAGAGTTTAATTGATATGGGACATATTGTTATAGTAGTAATTAGTTATAATAATAGTATGTCCACGGCGGGTTTACATGTATGTACTAATGAAAATGTTATTGCCTTGCTGCTTGTATTTTTAATGGGCTAACTCTGGCTTGTAAGCAGGCCTTCTTTAATTCCCCCTCTTTTTTAGCTTTCCTCTCTCTCTCTCTCTCTCTCCCTCTCTCCAAAGTTATGTGAACGCCATTGCAATTAATGCTTAATTGTGTGCTTTGCTAATATTCAAAAGAGTTTGATTTCCCTCTTTTTCCAGTCTTTTTCTTCCTCCACTTAAATTCCCCCTTTTATTTCTTTTTCTGGTCTCTTCTCCCTATCTTATCAATCCCATCTATTGTTCCTGACCAACAACCACCTGTAACAATCCCTCCCTCTTCAGAGCCCTCTAAGTGGTAGCTGACATAAGCACCTCTTACCTGAAGTGTCTATCTGTCTCCCTTTGTTTGTTTAGCTAGCCACTAAAGTCCCTCCCAACTGTAGTACCAATCAAATATCACTTCTCGTTCTTCTACACAATAAGCCAAATGTTATCATGCCTGACTATAAGCACTTTTGCCCCAGAATAATCGACCAAGTCTGATATCCTATACTGGTACAGCCCTGGAACATTATATTATAGATCATCCCTCTTATTCTGGGATGAATCAGTCCAACATGGCTGATTTTTGCAGTTCTTTCATGACTGATTACACGAAAACCATGATTCGTGACTGATATCAGTGTGATTCAGACTAATATCAGTCCTGATCTAAGGCGATAACAATTGGTTGTGTGGTGTATTATTTTTGGCTCCACCCAGATAGGATTAATTAATACACATAACAATTATTATATATTCTATAGTCTTTTAGCAGTCAGTATATCCCATTGGTAAATGTAATGGATTCTTTAATGTGCTTGGATGTCAGTTGCTCATGGAGCATGACTAAAGGTGTCACTATAATTGGGCCAGTTATCTGAATACAATATACACAGGATGCTGTTACATAAAATCACATAATATGCAAGTGTATTAATAATTCTCTCAGTTGCCATCGTATAATGTATTTTGTACATATGTGAACATGGCTGTTATTCTCTTAACTGTATTATGTACATATATGTGTGTATTATATCCTATAAAGTGTGTGTGTGTGTGTGTGTGTGTATTATATCCTATAAAGTGTGTGTGTGTGTGTGTGTGTGTATTATATGCTATAAAGTGTGTGTGTGTGTGTGTATTATATCCTATAAAGTGTTTTTGTGTGTGTGTATTATATGCTATAAAGTGTGTGTGTGTGTGTGTGTGTAATTGTATTATAGTGCATTGATCAAACGACCAGTTTCCTTATATTCTAATGAAAGCCTCTCAATCTCATTCTCAATACAAACTGTACTTTGTCCTATCACTACGCCACAGCATCACATTCTATTGAATAATAATAATAATAGTAATAATAATAACCTAATTTATTTATTATAAAGGAGAGAGAGTGTGCGACCAAGTAGTGATAATGTAATTTACAAAAAGGACACACCTTTGCATTCTTACTCAAGGTTCAATGAACAGCTGCTAGTTTTTCTAATGAGAAAAATTTAGACAAAACTACCACGAAATCCTATCACATTGCATGCATTAAATGAGGAAAATTTACGTTAAATTTTTAGTTTATTTTTCATGTGTGGCCCTTGTTTTTGTATAGCGAGTCGTCATTACATGGTCATTAGTCATACTATATGTCCCTTGATGATGACTACAGGATAGCCTAGTGCTTTCATACACCAGCTGCAAATATTTAAACGGAAAATACTGTACATAGTATAATATGTGCATCATTACATGCTAGTATTATTATAATTATGCGTAATTAACTTAATGTAATAATCCAAATAATGCGCCTGTACGTACTTGCACTTGTATACATTGTTATTGATGACCTCAATCTGTCTCTGTACAAACATAACAGCTGCTTTAGGAGTGGATCTATCCTTACTTGAGTGAGTGAGACCTTTATATCCTTTTGCTTGTAGTAGCAAGCGTAGTAAATAGAGATTTTGTGAGCTTGGAGACGCCTCGGGATGATTGATACAATATATACTCTCATTCTCATGATGGCGGAGCCTGTAGTAATGTGTAACACAATTATGTGACTATTTTTATAGTAATTGATGTTGCGATTGGGTATACCAATATTTGTATAAACATCTACTTAGCCCTTACATAGAGTTGACATTGAAACATTATCTACATGTACATGTACATATACTGTACACTATACTTGTTGATATAGGTGATAATGACTGAAAGTTTGAGTTGACATTATAGTCAAAAATTCTGAGAACTTCAGATATACTGTAGTCTATTGGTCTTTGGGCGATATGTTTATGATACCTCAGTAAGGAGTATTAACTTTCAAATTTTAATGGATCTTATTTCAACAGTATCATTACTGACCGATCCCGACTCCGATTCATAGACGATTTGTTTTTTAAACTGCATGAGATCTGATATGTAATGTATTGTATTACTCTTAACTTTTCTGTCAAAACTTCACTAAACTCGCACTTAAATCAAGAAAACTGGAGCTGGGCTTAGATTCAGCATAATTATAGTAATAATTCTCAATAATAATTTGTCACGATTAATCAAAAGATATGTGGCCTCCACTGAACCAAAGAGTCGAGTAGACTGACATTACTCCGCTAGTGATCAAACCAGCTGGTATTACAATTCCATCACAGCTGTTGTTTGTACCACGTCCAGACTGACTGAACTATGAATGGATGATGTTTAGTAGTGCTCTAAGAGAATTGAGGGCATGTAGTGGCAGGGTATTGCATGTTTGTTCACAATTTTGTGACAATTTTGTGAAAGTCCCTGTTCTATAGTACATGGTCATGAGCCAAATTCTGCCAAAAATGACGACTAGAGAGAATTTTCTATTTTAATAATTTTTTGATACATATACGTGCTCTTATGTTGTGTTAGATTTTTAAATAAATTTTAAAAGTTGCTCCAAAATTGGGTAAAAGTCCCCGACCCTGTTCACGGGCCAAATATTTCCAAAAAATGAAAAAAGAGAGAATTTTCCATTTTTAATAAAAAATAATAATAATTAAAAATAAAACAAAATAGCGGCCAGAAAAATAACAAAGTAATAAGAATTAAAATTAAATAAAATACAAAATGGCCACCACTATTTTATTAAATTTATTTTTCACTTTATTATTTTTATTTTATAATTTTTAATGATCTTTTATTTTTATTATTTTATTTTTTAATTTTTATTATTTTTACTATAATTTTAAATTTTTCATTAATTTTTTAAATTTTTTAAATTTTAATTTTATTTTTATAATTTTTAATTCTTTTTATTTTTTATTATTGTTATCTTTTAATTTTTAATTTCTTGTTTTAAATATAATCTTAAATTTTTTAAAATATTACTTTTTATTTTTTCATTATTTTTAATTTTAATTTTTAATTTTTTAATTTTAATTTTTATAATTTTTAAAGTCTTTTTAACTTTTATTATTTTTATTATAATATTTAAAATTCTTTAAATTTTTTAAAATTATTCTGCTCTTAATGTTATTATTATTTTTATTATTTTTTATAATTCTTTATTTTTATTATTGTTTAAATTTTTTAATTTTTTTAATTTTTTCATTATTTAAAATTTTTTTAATTTTGATTTTATTTTTATAATTTTTAATTTTTTACTATTTTTATTATTGTTAATTTTTATTATAATTTTAAAAAATTTTCAATTTTTAATATTATTTTATTTTTTATTATTTCTTATTTTTAAGAATTTTTTTAATTTTAATATTATTTTTTTATTTTTTTCATTATTTCTTATTTTTAAAAAAATTTAATTTCCGTATCATGGCAACTATAACTTGGTAACAGTAACCTAGTAACTGTAACTTAGCAACAGTAACTTAGCAACAGTAACTTAGCAACTGTAACTATGCAACAGTAACTAAGCAACAGTAACCTAGCAACTGTAACTTAGCAACAGTAACTATGCAACAGTAACTAAGCAACAGTAACCTAGCAACTGTAACTTAGCAACAGTAACCTAGCAACTGTAACTTAGCAACAGTAACTAAGCAACAGTAACCTAGCAACTGTAGCTTGGCAACCACGAGCGCGCAAAAATGCAGTACTAATTGATTCAATTATGGAAAATCTTAGGAAAATTTATGATCATAGATTATTATAGAATATGTGAAGGCAGTAACCTATAATCTATAAATAATATCTAAAGTTGTTCTCATAAAAATAATTGGTTTAATCATGGGCTCATGCTCGCGCTATATAACCTATAAATGTAGGAGTGGCTTGACCATAATAAACATTAGCAAACAAAATGGCGGCTGGTCAATACGCGAGAGGCTCTTTAGGCTATCATGTACAGCCTAACTACGAGATACTAGAAGAAATCTATGATGACTCTTACGAGCCAACACAAGAGGGTAAGGATTGAAATGAAAAGAGAGAGGGAGAGGAAAAAAAGAAGGAGGGAAAGAGAGTGGGGGCTGTTGCCACGAGCAACAAATAAACAAAAATGGCGTCCCGTAACCAAGACAAGGCTAAGAGAAAGCTAAAAGGAGATGCAGTGCATGAATCAAAGAAAAAAGGATAAGAACAGAGCCTCCAATCAACCCTCCCTTTTCATGAATGTCGATGATGGAGGAATAGGTCATATTAGATCCACTAAGCCCAACTCTCCTTTACCTTCGGTACATTCGAAGTCTGTCAAAGCACATTTCAATGGATACTCTCTCTTACCATCATATCACAATATTCAACTGATTGATGTGCCTAGTGTACTGAGTGGCTCTTCATCAGGCGATACTGAGGATGGTAATAATGCTATGGGCAGGGAGACTAATAAGCATGTCTCTGATAAGTGGTTAGGAGGGGCACCTGGTGACAGTGGAACGACAGGAGAACTGGTCCTTGAAGATGAAGGTTTTGATAGCAGAGGAAGAGAGTGGGAGGGAGGGAAGGGAAGTAGATATAATAGACATAATGATGTACATGTATTAAGCAAATTGGAGTTTTTGCAAATTTTTAAAGTTGCTCAAAAATTAGGCCAAAGTCCCTGTACTATAGTACATGGTCTCGGGCCAAATTTCGTGAAAAATGACTAGGAGAGAATCCTCCATTTTTATAATTTTTTCTGATGCATATACATGTTCTTATGTTGTGTAGCAAGTTTGAGCTGATTCCGATCAAAATTGGAGTTTTTACGAATTTTTAAAGTTGCTTAAAAATTGGGCGAAAGTCCCTGTACTATAGTACATGGTCTCGAGCCAAATTTTGCCAAAAATGACTAGGAGAGAATTCTCCATCTTAATAATTTTTTCTGATGCGTATACATATTCTTATGTTGTGTAGCAAGTTTGAGGTGATTCCGATCAAAATTGGAGTCTTTACGAATTTTTAAAGTTACAAAAAATGCTTGTCAGCTCATAAGCATGAAGCATGCTTTTTAGCTCACAATGTGTAGCATGCTAAGTGCTTTATGGGGAAACCCTGCTATTAATTTTACTTAATTTATTTATATACGTACATGTATAGATGTTTTAGAGCAGTGCTATCAGATGGGCATTGATCCAGTACATGAGAAGGACCTGGTGTATATTGCTATGGAAGCTCTGAAGGCACCATTACCTGAATCATGGAGACCAATGTATGTATAAAGGAAGGAAAGAATTGAAGAGTGGGGATACTTGTACATCGACATATTAATGCACACATGTACATGTACATGTACATGTACATGTATGACGTTAAATTGTACATGTAATTGTACATGTACATTATTTATGAGACTTTTTATGCATGCATAAAATAAAGAGGGAGGAGGAGGAGGAGAGAGAAAGGGAAGAGATGGCATAAAAATCTTCAAAATTTATGACTCTCTTTTCTTCGTTAGCTCTGATGGCAAAGGTGGTTATTTTTATCATAATTTTGCTACCGGGCAGAGCACGTGGGAGCATCCCTGCGATCAGTTTTACCTTAAGATGTTGGACAAGGAGAGAGAGAAGCAAGCCAGCTTGGCTGCAGCAAACCAGAGGCCATCAACATCTCACGGTCGGCAGGCGTCAGGGACAGCAGTAGCAAAGGCACCGAGTCTAAGCTTGAAAAATGCTCCAGCACTAGCCCCAGTAAAAGCACCAGAGGTACAACTGTACATGTACACGTACTGTACATGCATGTGTGTTTGTTCGTTAATATTCTGCAGAATACAGTAATGCATATAAATGTTAATGCTCCTATACTACATGTAGGTTTTAAAGTAACTATCACATGTACATTGTACTATAGATGTTAGAGACTACGTATACATAGTCTCTAATATTTATGATTGTACATGTAGTCATGTGCATATTTACATGTACTTGTACTTTCTGTTTTTCATAGCTGCCCGGTTCTCTCTCAGTCGGTTCTTCGTTAAAGAAGCCTGCTCTTGCTCCCATCGGTGCTACTCCAAAAGTTGGAGGAGGAAGGGGAGGTGGACTGTTAGGGGATCTACCCTCTCTCTCGTTGCCTCTTGGACCATTGAACCCTCTGCCTACCTTAGAACCAGTACATGAGAGTTTTTTATTAATTATTTTAATATTATTTTTAGCTTAAACCTTCACTGCCACCTCCTTTGGCTCCAACTACAGCTGTGGGTGTGGCTTCAGGTGATAAGGCTCCTCCCACTAAAGAAGACACTAAGAAAAAAGATGGAGGGGCTGGGAGGCCGGGGTCAAATTTGAAGCATTTCCCTTTGAGGGGTTCTGATCTGAACGTTGATCATATTTCAACTGAGTTTAAAGATGAGGAAGAGGAGGAGGAGGAGGATAGTTTAGATAAAGTAAGGGATTTTGAAGTAAAGAAACATTGGGGGAGTGAGCAAAGCAATGACATAGAAAGAAGCAAATTAGTTTGTCAGTAGATGAATGTACATGTAACTCATATTTACAATGTGCATTAAGTTGCATATGTGTACATACATGTATATACATGTATGTGATCTCACACCAAAATATTTTTTCCTGTGTTTACCAACTCTGGCAAAGATGAATGCTGATTTCCTTCTTAGCGCTACAGTTGTATGCAATTATAAAGTATATAGTAGGAGGATACATACTGTACACATAGTCACATGTGTAAATGTTACATTTGGCAGCCAAAGATCAATAGATTATACAGGAGGTATGGATATATTCAAATAAAAATGAACTGAACAAAGTGCAGAAGTTTAATAAAAAATGCAAAAAATAATTGTACTATTAAGTATAGTACAAGACAGTTATCAGAGTTAATTTACATGTATCTTTCAAGGATTTTCCCCTGTTGTAGTTTTTTTGCTGGGCTTTTTCACTTTTTCAAAACATAGCCACGGTGTGAACATTGTTAGACTGATAGCATCACATATAGCAACGGAACTAAACAGAGACTTTGTATCAAAAGGCCCATCTGTTTCATCACCATTAAAAAATACAACAGCATAAGATAATATTATATTTCGAGGAACAACAATAAAAGCAATTTGAATGAGGACTGCACTAGTTATGCAGCAAAGTTGGCGACAAGTTATCTTCTTTCTGATACTGTTTCCTTGGGTCATTTTTAAGAGAACGCATGTTAAGAAAGAAACAGCTAAAGCTGAAAGGCCAAAGGTGACACTTGCTGCCTCGAAGCCATCAATAAATGCAATCTCAATGCAAGTTCCATTTTCTGCAACCTCTATCTGAACTGCATCATCACCATAGCAATTTTTATAAATATAATCAGGATCGTTGTTTCTCAAATGGTCCAACTCATCATTTTTGCTATTTATTCCTGCCCAGAATGTGCAAATGCAGTGGACAGAGAGGACAAGAAACATGAAGAAGAGGAAATAAGTGTAGCAAATTGGAGCTTTGTATCCATATACTATGAATCTATCACCATCTTTATTCAGGAAAAAGAATATTTTTTGGACAATATTTGTCATCTTTTTTTGGATTCGATGACACTTTTTATCCATACATCCACAACAGCAGAACATTGGAGCAAAAATGATGAATAGAATCAGTGTGATAGCTGGAATTCCAAGTAATATTGTAAGAGTAACCAAAAAAGTGATGTAATTAATTATATTAGACTTATCTTCATCGATAAAGAAGGCCATTCTCTGCCCAGTGTCAAGAACAATAAGCTGTTGCTTCACTAAGAGTAGACTGTAGACAAAAAATTGAAAAGGAAGTGTTTTTTATTCTGCTTATCGACGCGATTGTAGTCTAATCATTAGTATGGCTTGTGTCCAACATTCTGTTTTTTTAATTTTAGTTCTGGTAGAATTTTAACAAAGCACAATGTACATGTATAAACAAAGTTATTGTAATGCTGAATGCAATTCAAGACAGTTATATTATTTAAGGAATTTCCTCTGGTGTGGTTTCTTTGCTGGGCTTTTTCACTTTTTCAAAACACAGCCACGGTGTGAACATTGTTAGACTAATAGCATCACATATAGCAATGGCACTCAATACAGAGCTCTCATCAAAGAAACCATCTATAGTGTCATTACCTGAACCTACAAAAAATATGAAAGTATAATATAATATTATAACTCGAGGAACAACAATAAAAGCAATTTGAATGAGGACTGCACTAGTTATGCAGCAAAGTTGGCGACAAGTTATCTTCTTTCTGATACTGTTTCCTTGGGTCATTTTTAAGAGAATGTATGTTAAGAAAGAAACAGCTAAAGCTGAAAAGCCGAAGGTGACACTTGCTGCCTCTAAGCCATCAATGAGTGCAATCTCAATGCATGTTCCATTTACTGGAGTGTCTATTTGAACTGTACTGCCTTTATGGAATGGATAGCAATTTCTGTAAATATAATTAGGATCACTGTCTCTCAGCTGCTCCAACTCATCATTTTTGCTATTTATTCCTGTCCAAAATGTGCAAATGCAGTGAACAGAGAGGACAAGAAACATGAAGAAGAGGAAATACGTGTAGCAAATTGGAGCTTTGTATCCATATACTATGAATCTATCACCATCTTTATTCAGGAAAAAGAATATTTTTTGGACAATATTTGTCATCTTCTTCTGAATTTGATTGCACTTTTCACCCAAACATCCACAACAGCAGAAAAATGGAGCGAAAATAACGAATAGAATCAGTGTGATAGCTGGGATTCCAAATAATAAGATAAGAGTAGCCAAATAAGTGATGGCATTAATTGTACCAGACTCATTTTTGTTGATAAAGAAGGCCATTCTCTGTCCAGTGTCTGGAACAATAAGCTGTTGCTTCACCAAGAGTAGACGGTAGACAAGAAATTTAAAATGAAATGTTTTTCTGCATACGGTACATGTACAGTGTATACATGTACATGTAAATAAACAATAATTACTTGTGTATCCTTATTCTGCTTATCTATACAATTGTAGTCTAATCATTAGTATGGCTCGTGTCCAACAGTCTGTTTTTACCTCTAGTTCTGATGGAGTGGCTGTCATAATTATACATGTGTAGTTCTACAGTTTAAAGTACCATAAATCTATGGTTCCTGTGTCTGATGGCACAATGAGTGTGTGTGTGTGTGTGGACCTTTTAAGAAATGACCTTCAAAGCTTCAAGCCATGTTGTGCTACTAATTGTGACCTAATATGAGAAAACCAGGCTATATGCAGGCGGGATTATCAATTAGAGTTATGACTTCCCAAAGTTGTGACAGTGGTTGGTACTTTATCAAAACTGAGATTATATCACAAATATTTTGTATAAAGAATTTCCTTTCATTTGATACCAAGGTTGCCCATAAATAAGTTTAAAAAGGCAATGTACAGACCTTTCTTTTCGTTGTGCACCATGTAAATGATGCAAGATATGTGGATAAAAATGGCTGTAACTCAATTACACCTGTTTAGACTTCTTTTGCATAAATAATTATAACTCAGCACTAGATGTGTCAAATGAGATGGGGAAAAGACCAAAAGGAAGCACAAACTAAGCTTAATTAAAAAGAGCATAAATCTCAATTTTCCAATTTGGAGCATTTAGCCTGGTTTTCTCATATTTGGTCACAATTTATTATATTTGTACATTTATCTGCTTTACCTCACCCCTCAGTGATTTGCATGTACATGTACATTGTACTTGTGAAAAAATAAAATTTAGTAGAATCTAGCAATGCAGTAGCAATTACATTTTTCTTTTATACTATTGCATATAATGTAGTCTGATGATGATGATGACAATGATGATAATTTTGCCAAGCGTTTTAATATAAAAGGACTAGGAGATGAATATGCAACCTCAACTGAGAGTCACGAAGCTAAACCTCCTGTTGAGAGCAGTAACGACGATGATAATACCGTGAGTCTTTATTTTTTAAATTACATGTACTTGTACACGTATTTTGCATGTTTTAGGAACCTTACAAAGTGGCGAATCTAAATGTAGATGTAGATTTGCTGCCTACACATCCACCATCTTCTGCTCTGCCTCCTGTAATATCGTCAGTTAATTCGTTACTTGCTCAGTCGTCTCAAGCTCCGCCTACTTTTATGCAGCCTCCTCTTGGTCTCCCTTCATCAGCAGATCAGCCTGTTCAATCTGTAGCCCCGCCTACTCAAGTCCCACCCATTTTATCTCAAGCTCCGCCTACTTTTATGCAGCCTCCTCTTGGTCTCCCTTCATCAGCAGAGCAACCTATTCAATCTGTAACCATGCCCAGTCAAGCCCCACCTATTTTATCTCAAGCCCCACCCACTCAAGCTCTACCCATATCTGATGCTATCAGGGAGAGAGCTGATTTAGAGAAAAATCATTATGATACTTTAGAAAAGTAAATAAAAATGTACATATACATGTGTACATGTACATGTACGTTGTACAATGTCATTTTAATTTTTAATTTAATGTTTTCATCTCCCTTTCATTGGTATAATGATGATAATGACACTGTTGTTTTAGATTAAAGGAAGAGCATGCACAAGAGCTAATGAAACTAAAAGAGAAGCTATCCTCTGAACTGGAGGAGAAGAGGAGCATCTTAGCAAAAGAGAATGAGTCCAAGTTAACAGAAGAGAGGGAAAAGAGAGAGACGGAGCTCAAGAAAAAGAAGAAGAATCTCGAAGAAGAGCATGACGTGGCACTTGATCTATTGAGGAGAGAGTTTAGAGAGAAAGAGGAGGAGGAGGAGGCAAGGCTGGAGGAGAGCAAAGAATCCATTTTAAGAAACATGAAGAGGAAGGTACTATAGTACATGTACATGTATATGTAGAAGCAGCAGGAGCAGACCACTTTTAATGTACACTAATTTTAGTGAGGGATCATTAAAAACAATTTATTATTAACTTAGCTGAAATTACCACACAGTAGAGCGATACCTCAAAGCACTAAATTACATGTAGTATTCACGTGTGCAAAATATTTAAAAATATTAATAATATTATTATATTTATTTCATTTTCTCCTTGTCTCTTTTTACAGATTGATTTGGAGCAACTTGAGCAAGAAAAGCAATTAAAATCAAAGAAAGACTTAGCAGTCCAAGAGCTGAAGACTGCAATAGAGAAAGAAATGAAAGAAGAGGAAGAGAAAATGAGAAAAGACATAATGTCTCAGCTAAAGGAGCAACTGGAGAAGGAGAGAGAAGAGAAAGGGAAAGAGATTGTAGAAGAGAATGAACGTCAACTGGAAGCTGTCAAAGAAGAACTCCAGGCCAGCCTTGATAAAGTAAGCTGACATAAAATGTACATGTACATGTACATGTAAAAGTAGTTCTTATACATGTACATGTACTAAATCCACATGTACTTTGTACATGTGAAAGTACATGTACTGAAATCCCACATTTACATTGTGTTTTGGTGTACTATACAATATAGATGAAGAAAGAGTTAGAAGCTGAGCATCAAAAGTCTCTAGACTCAGTGAGAGAAGACTTGACCAAACAGCACGAGGAGAACCTCCAAAGATTGCGCTCTGAGCTACTCAAAGACTTTAAGTCCAAACAGTTGGAACTAGAAGAACAGAAAACCTTACAGTCAGCCATTGAAGAGGAAGCAAGCAGCAGATTAGAAGAGAGGAAGAAGCAACTTAAAGAAGAACATGAGGCTGCACTAGTTAGTATATGTACATATTTAGTACTATATTATTTATTATTATTATTATTATTATTATTATTATTATTATTATTATCATTGTTAATTAAGAGTTACAAATGTACATGTACATGTAGTTTCTTTTTTATTTTGTGTTTTATTTCATCATAATAGGAAACTTTGCTTGCTTCACAGGAGCAAGAACTAAAAGATTTGAAACAGGAACACGAAAGAAAGTTAAATGATGAGAAAGAGGCACACTTGGAAGCAATGAAGAAGGACAAAGAAGATCAGAACAATCTTCTCCTTAAGCTAAAGGAAGAGAATGAAGGAGAGTTGGAGAGGGAAAAGGAGGCACATGAAGTTAAGCTTAGCCTAGAAAGAGAAAGATTTGAGAGAGAGTTTGAGGCCATTAAGGAAGATAGATTGAAAGAGATCAAAGTAAAGGGAGAAGAACCAGCTAGCAGTAATGGGGAAAATAAGGTTTGAATTGGTTTTTTGTCCTTTTGTGTACACATGTACATTTACATGTACATGTGACGATTCCGACTTCAATTTTCTGTACAAATACCCTATACTATAGCCCATGGTTTTTCTCAAAAAATGGCTCCGAAATCACACCCAATTTTTATTACATTTTCTGATACATATTGATGTCCTTATGCTGTGTAGAAAGTTTGAGCCGATTCCAACTTCAATTTTTCAAGTTACGGCCATTTAAAAAAATTGGCCATTTTCTGAAAAATACCCTGTACTATAGCCCATGGTTTTTTCCAAAAAATGGCTCCGAAATCACACCCAGTTTTTATTACATTTTCTGATGCATATTGATGTCCTTATGCTATGTAGAAAGTTTTAGCTGATTCCTACTTCAATTTTTTGGGTTATGGCCATTTAAAAAGTACATGTACTTATACATATATGTATCCTGTACTGTAGCCCATGCTTTTTTCAAAAATCAGCTTTGAGATCATCCCTAATTGTATTACATGTATAATGTACATGTACATGTACATTTTCTAGTACATGTAAATGTATAATGTACATGTTTATGTGTACATGCTGTGTAGTAAGTTTGAGCATTTAAAATTTTCAAGTTACATGTACATGTACATGTACAGTAAGTCAGTAACAGCATACTGATCCTGATTTACATGTACTTTACTACTCTATTTCTCTTCCTTCATCATACATGTAGTTATTGTTTGGAGGTGAGAGATACAGTGCTACTAACAATCAACTGATATTTGACAACATGACAACAACTCGTGATCACAGTCTCCTCAGACAATCACTGACATCACCTTTACCCGACCCTCCACCCATTACAATACCTCACCAACACGAAATACATGTACATGTACCTTCACAGCCATCACTTATCCCACACTCTGCTTCACAAACGGCACCTCCCCTTGCTTCACCTCCCTCTTTAGCACTCCAATCAGTTACTGATAATACTTCCACTGCTACATGTACTGCAACCAGTGCTGATATTTTTAATGACGTCAAGAGCCTTCGGGCAGCCCAGCAATCTCTCCTAGCAGACGTCATGAAGTTAAGAGAAGAGAAGGAAAGGCTTTTGACCGATAAATCAAGCAGAGACAAGCATGTGCATGTACAAGACAAAAGGGAGAAAAAGGTTAGAGTATCAATTCGTGATATTTCTACAGCTACTAGTGAGAACCTAGCAAGACTTGATACTGAAGGCACAAGTGGTTCACCTACTACAGCACACATATTAAGATCAGAAGGAGGACGCTTGTTTAAAAGAAAAGAATATGCTCCTAATAGTAGCGATGAATCCACACTCTTTGATGATGAGGACCAAATACATGCACAGCAATCACACAAAACTGATGGCCCATTGGATTATACAGCTAACCATCCGACCATCACTCATTATGCTTCACAGTCGGGAGTATCCCCTCCTGTTGAAGTTAATGAGAAGACTCAAAGGACTCAAATGACTCCAAGAGAGGGCAAAGTCAAGCGAGAGAAAGATGCACTCTTTGATAAAATAAAGCTGAAACTTGATAAAGTTTGTTTCTTTTATGATTGTCATTTTATCTTCTTTTTTTCTTGTTCTTAGGAAGCTGCAGCTATCAGAGAAATGGAAAAGAAGCTGCAACAGGATGGGAGGAGAATGAGAGTGTTTAGTGACAAATTATTAAAAGAAACACAAAATATTCAAGAAGAGGATCAAGAGGTACATGTACATGAATGTTTATTGTATTATACACATGCCAGGGTTTTCCCGCAAAGCGTACTAAATGAGCTAAACAGCATGAGCTTCATGAGCTGACAAGCACTACAATACAGTACATGTACATAGCATTTGGAGCAACTTTAAATATTTATAAAAAATCCAAACCTTATCAGAATTAGTTCAAACTTTCTACACAACATACATGTAAGTACATGTATTTGTATCAAGAAAAATTATAAAAATGCAGAATTCTTTACTTTTTAATCTTGGCGAAATTGGGCCAAAATATATCTCTGTGCTGTAGTACAGGAACTTTGGCCCAATTTTTGAGCAACATTGCGATATATGTACAGTACATGTATACATGTACATGTACATGTACACTACATGTACATGTACATGCATGGTGTATGTACATGCCCTTAGGCTAGATTAGGTAGAGAGTTTGAAATTATTATTAATGGCTAAGTATTATTAAATACTTTGCTGTTCTAATATTTCTGTCTGCATATTTTGTACTTCGATAAGATGATTGAATTAATTATAATTCTTATTTAGTTCAAATTTATTATTATTCTTGGAATCCTATCTGCCTCTTTCTCACTTTTCTGTCTTCTTTCCCTCTATAACTACAACTCAACTTTGCTTCCTTCTTTTCCTCCCTCCCTCCCTCCCTCCCTCTCTCTCTCTCTCTCCTATTATAGTCCGAAGACATTACCCAAAATAATGGCAGTAGTGGGAGTGATCTAGAAGACTATAATTCAATATACAGTGCTGATTCACAGCCACATCCAGTTACTCCCAGCCCATCATACACTAGTGCTCATATTGCTACTCTTAGAGACCAGCTTGTCAAGGAGGGCTTGCTGCAAGAGTCAAAGTCTCGTTCCCGTTCTCGCAAGACTCATTCCCGTTCCCACAAGTCCCATTCTCACTCTCGCAAACTTAGTTTTCACGCTAAAAAGTATAGTCAGAAGCCTCATGCCCGTTCCAATCGGACTCGTTCCCACACTCACGGAACTCATTCTCAAACTTCCAGACCCGAAAACTCATTCCTACGCATAGAAGACTTACAAGATTCTAGTGGAGTCAGCAGTTCTTCGGAATTCTCCGCTTCCGATGTTGCCCCTCATGGTGCTACGTCGGTCGACTGGTCAAAAGGCAATAGGTCTAATGGTCCGTCTGTCTCTAGTGCATTGGAAAAGATTAATGATCAGTTGGAGGAGGTTTTGGGTTGTTTAAATGAAAGAGAGACTCCTTTACCTACTTCTTCTCATCATAGAAGAGACCCTATGCTGTATCCCTTCTCTCCTCCTCCCCCTCCTCCTCTCCCTCTCCTTCCTTCTCCCTTTCCTCCCCCTCCCTCTCTCTCTCCTACTTCTCTCCCTCCTGCTTCAAGCTCTTCATTCCCTAGTGCTCTTGATGCATCGCTCCAGGAGAAATGGAGAAACAAACTAGGTAATGCTGTTCATGTAAATGTACATATACATGAAAAAGTATATGTACATGTACATGTACATGTACATGTACATGTACATGCATGCATGTGCATGTATATACATGTACAGCATAATAGGGCAGTATCGTATTACAAAGGCTCAGCTGTGCATGTGCGGTATGTGTTGTACATTTTTATGGCTGCTTATTAATAGCTGTATGTGTAATACTAGGATGATATTGGTACTGTATCATTATAAAGCCTTTTAAATGCTTCAAAACTTGTTTACTGCTTTTCTTAAGGACAGAACTCTTATTAATTAAATCAAGACTCCTGGCTCGATCTACGTGTACATGTACATACATGTATAAATGTGCATGTACATGTACATTATATGACCAATAAGTATGTTAGTAGTATCAACTGTCAATGATACTTAAAGTAGAAGTATTGTACATGTACATGTATGGTCATCTGTATTAATGTAGAGCTGACTTCTTTGTTGTCTTTGTCCTTGTCTATAAAAAGGAAATGGCGCACTCCCTTGAACGCACGTTCATATAATTAAGTGAAACTGATATCCTTTTAGCCTTTCTACTTCATTACTTCAACTAGTACTAGTTCTAATTCTCACTCTGTGTGTCTCTCTTACTCTAAATGCTCATAATAGCTTGTTGACAGACATGCCTTGTTTGTTTCTTCTTCCTTTTGATTGCTGTTGTGTACAAGTCTTCTCTCACTCTTTGATCCAGTTGTTAGGGGTAGATTTATTTCTTGTTTTAAGCTGATAGGGTATACATTATACTCATAGTGTGAGAGAGAAAAGGGGGAGCCTATTGTACACAGCTTAGCTATGCATGCACTTCTTGCTTGCATTGCGTTGTTGATTATTATTGCTCTTTTTAATCTGCGAACAAATTAGTCAACTAGACTTTGTAGTTTGTACATGCCTATGTTTGAGTTGTACTTTCCTCCCTTTCTCCCACTTTCCTTCTCTGTCTCTCTCACTCACTCACTCTGTCTGTCTGTCTGTCTGTCTCTCTTTCTCTCTGTCTCTCTCTATTCGCGATCTCTCCTGCATTCCTTATTAATAATTATTTCCTTTTCACTTCATTGGTTTCCACCCAAAATTCCAACGGAGCTACGTGCAGTTACATGCATGCAGTTCACTCGCTCTTTATCATTTAGCTCTAATTGTCTTATTAAACCTTTAATTGGAATGTGCGCTGAATTAGCGTGGGCGTGATAGGGGTAATCGAATAGAGTTTGCTGACTCCAGTTTAGACAAGTAATGGTTCAGTATTATTAGTAGAACAGAGTGTCAGTTATATTTATGATGATAGCCCATATTAGCAGAAGGTTATCATTATTATTATTAACAGCACAATCTGTTGATGTACATGTACATGTATAGTGGGAAGAGAGTATAATTTGTTCATGTACATATGCATAGTAGGAATAGGAAGAGAGTATACATGTATAATATGTCTGGTGTGCATCATGTACATGTACATGTGTGGTGTAGGTTCAAATTTGCACTATGGTATATCACAACTGAGTAGTGTACTTGCCTGTTGGTATACTGGTTCTATTGTTGTGCCTGACCTGTGATTGCCTCTCACTGAGCGTGAGCTCCATTAATGACATTTATTGAGTCAAGGCAACATTCATTAACCTCTAACGCTATTCATGAGCCAAGTGTCGAACCAAACTTGGTATTGTGTTATTCACGATGGCCAATTGTTACCATAGGAAAGGAGGAGTATCAGTGCCTACACAATACATCCCTGTAGCTACATGTACTTGTACATTGGCCACACACAAATGTCGTATTGAACACGTGTACATTTAATTGTAGCTACATGTACACATGTAGGCTCCTTTTTTCCTACGAATGTGCTTAAGTTAAGCACACCCTCATGTCTTGGTAAACTCCTCATGTCTTCTTTGTGTATGTGCAACTGCTCTTTTAATGCTAGCATACACAGCAACTGTAGTCTCTTAGCATTAGTAAATTAAGCAAAAAATAATAATGACTGTACAACAGATATCATGATATTTATGTACTCTATGCAGTATATTTTATGCATGTACATTTTATGCTATCATACCGCCAGACAATGGTTATACATGTAATGTACATGTATGCATGGAAAACACATGTTGACACACGCAATCAGTGAGGCTTTGAACACCTGCAGCTGTTACCACTTGTACTGTGTGAAGGTATTGAGTGGTGACTGGTGAGTGAAGTCTCATTAGGGCTAGGAGTGTCTTACTGACCAGAACTGGACACTTGTGCCATTAGACTTGCCATTAGTTTGTAGCCCCCCCCTCCCCCGAGTGTGTAGTATTAAAAGAAATGTAATGATCTTTTTATGTGCATGTACATGTATTATTATTATTATTATTATTATCATTATTATTACTATTATTGCCTTTTTATTTATTTTTATTTTTATCATACTCTGTAGATGCTGGAGCAGCAAAAGAAGGCACAAGGTATGTATGTATGTTACAATTATTTTACAAAATAAATATAAAATCTGTAGTCTTGTTATATTATTATTTTATTATGTATATAGTTGTGACGGATGATGATGCAGTGTCCATACCTTGTGGCTATTATTTTTTTCATTACCCTTGTTTGCAAACATAATAGCAATAGCGTAACGATAATTATGCAAACAGAAACGGATAGAAGTAGATGGGAGAGTGAGGGAGATGGAGAAACAAGAGGAGTGGGAGAGAGAGAGAGAGAGATACAAGAGCAGCGCTACGCAGTGTAGAAATCTGACTGGAATAACACTTGTCAATTAGTTGCTTTGATTTTTGTAATTAATGTACATGTACACACACATAATGGACACACACACACATTCAGTTATTTGTGTGATCAGGGACCCACAATAAACATACTCACCCAATCAGGACACACAACCACTTATATATATATACCCACTGTACTTTAAAATGATAATAGTACATGTACTTTTTTAAGCAGGAGCTATTTAAATTCCTTCTCTTATGCTTTTATTTTATAGCTCAGGCCCAAGATGGACTGATACGCTTCCTCTCTCTTCTTCAAAGCTCAGCAGAGAAGGACGCCACCTTATCCAAAAACATAAAGACTGGCTTGGAGAATTTCGAAAAAATCTACCACGGCAACCATAGATACACTTATAAATATGCACATTCTGCATTCAAAATAATTAGATAATTATTTTTAATGATAATTATTATTATTTTATTCCTTAAAAAGTTTTCATAGCCAAAGGCTAAAAATGAATTTTTACTTTACCACCGATGATCAGCATGGCGGCAAATGCGTGGGTGTTTTCTCGCGGACCAATCAAATCCGCTCCCGGGTAGTGAGGGATGTGCCGCCAATATTCATGGGTTGTTGACTGCTTTGACCTCACTATGAGAGTCACTGCTGAGTGGAACAGTGGCAGTAACAGTAGTAGAGCTGAGAGAAAGGAGACTGATCACTGGAGGAAGACTAGCGGGAGTTATACAACTGCCTCTTGAGGCTACCGCCCGAACTTAACTAAAGAAAACGTGAAAAGTCTCAAAAAGTAAGCGACACATGGCTATGTGTGTATGTTTGTACAATAATGCGATAAGGAGTCTTCTGTTTGCGTGTTTGTAAACCACTACTGTGTATATACATTATATTATCCTATAAAGAGAGAGAGAGAGATCATAGTTATCATAGACAATACATGAGAAAACAAGCTGCATGTACATGGCACTGTAAATTTCTTGGATCTGTTTGTTCTAACCCTTTCCTACCACTTCAAATGCTCCCTTGAGATGCTTAGTACATGCATATTGCAATTTCCAATGTACATGTACACTATAAAAACTATTGACTGCATTTGACATCCAATTCAGTACATGTACATGTACATGTATGTGCAGGCAGATGAGCTATTTTAGTCTCTATTTTAATCTGATTATTTATATCTTTTGAGTTTCATTTTGAGCCAGCCCAACGTTATTGCAGCTGGCCTGTGCATTATAATAGTATTTTTAAATTGCAGTCATTCTCTTAGCATCATATCACCCTGTCCCATGATTCAGTTCTACAAGAACTATGATGTTCTAATATAAACTTTCATGCAGCAATAGTAGTAGTAGTAATAATAATAACAATAATAATGTTCTCTTTTTATTTTAGGATATAGTTCACCTTGTATAAATACAGCAAGCCTGTAGCACCAAATTGATTATTACCAATCGGTAAGTATATGCACACTCTAGCATGCACCTTAATAATGTTATTTTAGTCGAGCCATTGTTGTAAAGATCTGTTCCTAATTGCTATAGAGATTACCAAAGGATCTAATACCTTTTCGTTATTAACACAAGCCTAATACAAATAGGTAAGTTCATTCAAGTTATGTTAATGCTGGCACTGGGGCGGGTGGTGTCTGTCCTTTAGAGGGCTTATCTGTTCTGTCCTGTTAACTAAGTGATAGACACATATAGTCCCAATAAGTCTGAAATGCATTATTAGCATTATGAATATTCATTGGTTCACTACTTGCATGCATGACTACGCCCAGGTATATATGGTTGTTAGCTTGAAGAGGTTTGAGGCCTTTGATCTTGATTGTGAATCGCTTTAATTTAATATTGTACAATGTTGATACATATAAGGCAATAAAGTGTGTGTGTTCTCTATACAGTATTGTAATGTCTTGCTCTCTTTTATTGCTCTAATAGTCAGTAATGATGTGTGTGTGAGTGTGTGTGTGTGAGGTGTCTATGGCTTGTGTAATGTTTAAGGAACTTTTGTAGCTAGTTTTGACTTGATTGGTCACGTTACAGTGTCAGTGTAATAAAGAGGGAGAGAGGGAGAGAGAGGAAGAGAGGGGTGGATAAATAAACAGTAAACCATAGACAGAAAGGGAAGACGTGGTGAATCAATATTTACAATATTAAGTATCTCTGTGTGTATTATTGATATGATAAGCTGATTTCAAGGAATTGAGAACCTTATCATGTAGCATACTGGGAGTTCAAAAAAGGAGAAGGCATGCCGTGTGTACTGTAGATTGAGAGAGGAGGAGGAGCAGAGGGAGGAAAGGAGATTGTGTATCGAGTTGCCACACCAACAACAAATATTGACACTGAGGGAATTGCTCTTCTCCCCCATAAAGCAAAGGAGAATGCAACCGTAGTAACCCAAAACATCATCCAGTAATTGGATGAGCACATGCAGAGGCTTAGATCTTATTGCTTAGCATTGTTGTGTCTGGACGTTAGGTTCATGCTCTTGCATTGGTGCATGCTTCGTTTAGCATGGCTGGTTTGTGGTCAGCAAAGAAATGACAAACATTACTTAGCTATGCGCTTTTGAGCAAATTGATGGCGCCAGGTTGGAAGTTCCGTTGCATTGTATGTAATTATAATATCTCTCCTACTGCCCCCGAAATCTGTATAAGCGTCTGTGTTCATTCCTGTGGGTTTATCCTCATTCCAATTCAAACCACAAGAATCCAGGGGAAGTTGTACACGTATGTATGTATGTACATTAGCAAGTCTATGTACTTGTTTGTGTTTGTGTGGCCTTTTTTATTCTTTGATACATTGTCTCTCTTCCTCTGTTTCCTCTCTCTCTCTCTCTCTTGGCTCTCTCTTAGCACTACAATTCATTATCTTGATTAATTTTATTAGAGCAATTGCTTGCCTTGGCAGCCTTCCAAAACTATAAGTTATAATGGGGATTCTTTGTGCTTGTATATCCATGTACATACTCATGATATGTGAAGAAAAGGCAAGGCCCAATGCTACACACACACACACATGTACAGTACATGTATGCACCAAAATAACTTTAATATCTTTTCTTCTATTTTATGCCCATATGTACAGTGTACAGTGTACAGTGTAGTGTCAGATATTCTGATACTATGTTATAGTAGCTCGGTAACTGATACTCTTTCTCATATTAGTTTGCCTTCCTTCAAGTGTGTGCCCTTTATCAGTGTAATTTGAACTGACACTATTACCTTTATACTTTTCACGTCCATCAACTGCGTCATGTACATATACATGCACTGCACGTCACCCACAAATAACTAGAATGAGACCTAAATAGTATACGTGCAATGTAATTTGTAACCGATACTTTTTTATTACGTACATGTATTACATATTTTCGATGGGAAAATGCAGAGAGAAGTCCTTCTATTATTATTTCACTCCCTTCCATTATATATGCCTTGTTAGTTACATAATCATCTAAATATTTATCACCTTTTAATGGCGAGTACCTCCCTCTCCCTTTTAGCCTGGGAACGACCCGTGGGTGTGGGTGGGTGGATTTTCTCGTGACATTCCAATGGTTTCTACCCCCAGTCCTGTCCCTCACAGGGTATAATCCCTCTATGTTGCACCATTGATGTTTAATTTTACAGCAATTGATTTCTTATCATTCCATTTCTTTGCGGCAAGTTTATTTCTTTCTCTCCCTCTCATGTTTATGTTGTAGTATTAGTATCATTATCAAAAGTGAGAGATATTTTGGCTCCCAAACAAATTCAAAAGCCACAGCTGTCATAAGAGGAGTCAAATAGCTTTCTCTCCCTCTCTCTTCTCATACTGTATGCATAAGCACTGTTTATACATGTACACTAATCCTCTTGTGATGTATAGAATGTATGCAACATTAATGTGTGTGTATATACATGTACAATGTGTGTGTGTAGGGGTATAAGAAATCTCTATGATGTGTTATTAGTTAGTGTCTGATTCAGTTTACTTGCTGCGTGTGCTTGTCTGGTCTGGTATGTGCTAGCTGTTTTATGATGTGCTTTATTTTGAATAATTTTTTAAATGAAAAATAATTTATTATCATTACACAATCTTTCTTCTTCTCTCTGTCTCTCTCTCTTTTTCTATAGGCTGTCCTCCTTGAAATTAGTGATAATTCATCAAAGAATACCAATCAAAGTCGCCATGTCTCTCAGAACATTTATACTTTGCTTGAGTCTCTTAGCGCTAATATCCTTCTCTTCCAGTCAAGTGAATCAAACTTGTGGTGACTGGTACACCAACGGTGGCATTAACAGAATTAACTGCACAATCTATGTCATAGAACAAGCCCCAGAGAACACCCTTGTATTTAATGCTCCGGCTTTAGTTAATGGCGCTCATTATTTTTATGGCTCCTCTATTGCCAATAATGAGCACTTTACTGTCATTAATAATCGACTGCTCTACACCAGTGGGTCTTTCGATAGAGAGGATATGGTCACTCGGGAAACTGCTTCAATGCCAGTCATTATAGAAACCTTGGCGACGGCATTAACACCTGGTCCTAATAATGTTCTTGTATATAACGTGATGCACCTTACCATACATGTCATAGACTTGAATGACAATGTCCCTAGATTTAGGAGAGGGTTGAATTTCATCAACAGTGCTATACCTTATGCTCTCTTGACGCATGAGAGCTCTAGCCTCTCCTCAATTCTGACAATGGAGGCCATTGATTATGACGAGGGTGACAACGGGACGTCTTTTATAGAACTGGTTCAATCGGAACCGGAAATGTTCAATATTAGCGTCACGTACGAGGGGGGACGTCCAACAATCCTCGACATTGTGCCCATAGCTGCCCTTGATCGTGAGATGCAGGATAATTACATATTTGATGTCATTGCATACGAGGGTATCTCAAACCCGGCCAACGCCACACTGAGGATTAATCTGACCATTATAGATGAGAATGACAATCAGCCAATATTCAATCAGACCCAATACTCCACCAGTATCATTGAGACCAGCCCCATTAACACTAGCCTTTTATTCCTCAATGCCACTGACCTTGATACAGGAACCAATGCGGCCATATCTTATAAAATCAAGGAGGTCTGTGCTAAGAGTACACAGGGAGGATCCTGCATTGATGTACAGCTCTGGCCTTTTGCTCTTGATACAGAGTCTGGGCTCCTGAGGGTTAGTGAGATGTTAAATTATGAAGAGATGGTAGAGTATAGGCTCACTGTTGATGCCTATAATCCTCACCAGGAGCTAGCAGGATCCTCTACGGCTCTCGTTAACATAGAGGTACTTGATGTTAACGACAATGCACCGATAGTCGAGGACTTCTCTGTCGTGGTGACTCTATCTGAGAATTTTGCCATCAATTCGACTTATGCTACCTTCAGAGTGCACGATGCAGACTCGCCGAAATACTCTCTGTTCTATCTCTCACTGCTTGATGACATGACCGGGTTGAATAGCACTACTTTCGGTCTCCAGAACAGCTCGCAGACTTACAACAGTGTCAAGTTGCTCCAAGTGCTTGACAGAGAGTCAAGAGATATGTATAATCTCACTATAGTGGCCCGAGACTTGCTCAATGCATCGCTGTACAGCACGTACCGTTTTACTATTTCTGTCGGTGACGTGAACGACCATTCGCCGGTGTTTAATCCAGTGTCTAACCCAGTGTTGCTAGAGGAAGAGAGCTCTGTCAGCACGTTAGTCGTAAAAGTATCAGCCACTGACGCGGACATTGGTAGTAATGCTGGAATACGTTTCAGTCTCCCAGCTACCAGTGAGAGCTATCCATATCAAGGCAACTTTACCATTCAAGGAACAACTGGTAATATACTAGTAGGCACTTCAATTGATCGTGAATCGACTCCTACTCTATTCCTCCTTGTTGTGGCTACTGACAAGAATGGAGCTGATGATGGAAGGAGCACTAATTTAACAATTAATATAACATTAACAGATATCAATGATAATCCTCCTGTCATTACGACTGTCATACCAAGTGAGATCGAAGTCCTTGAGAATGTAACAAGTGGTTCACTGATCATTGATATTGACGCGGCTGATCCTGATCTCGGATCAAACGCAATCATTACTTACCAGTTGAGTGTAGTAGCTCCCTCTCTCTCGTCCCCATCTCCCTTTGCCATCAACTCATCCACTGGCCGTGTTACTGTTAACGGAGTCCTGGATCACGAGTCTGTATCTCAGTATGTGCTGAGTCTGTCAGTCACTGATGGGGTCAATCCCCCAACCACTCAAAACCTTACACTCAACGTCAAAGACGTCAATGACAACTCTCCTTCATTCCCAACTAATAATTATTACAAGACACTCCACGAGAATGCGACCATCGGTAGTCCAGTGATCACTTTACAAGCTACTGATGCCGACTCTGATCAATACACTAGCATCAGTTACTCATTCGTCTCTGGAAGCTCTGACTTTAGTATCAATCCAACCAGTGGGGCTATAACCACAGCTGCGTCCTTAGACTGGGAGACACAGTCAGTCTATCATCTCATTGCAAGGGCTTATGATGGATTTGGTAGGTACTCAGAAAACATCAACGTCACTGTCTCTGTTGTTGATGTTAATGACGAGATACCACAGTTTGTCGGGGATCCTTATACTTTTGTAATCCCTGAAGATGCACCTCTTAATTCTGTGGTTGATCACGTGACGGTGAAATCCATCGAGCTAGGTAGTAACGGACTAGCATTGTTCAATATCACAAACGATGTACCTTTTATCATTAATGGATCGGGGACCATCCTAACTTCTGGGAACCTGAATAGGGAAGTAAAGGATAGCTATGATGTATACGTTAGAGTCTCGGATTTGGCCCCTCCTCCACATTACAACACTACCACAGTCACCATAAGGATATCTGATGTGAACGACAATGCTCCTCAATTTCTTAATTCATCAGACAATGTTTCTGTGAGTGAGATTCATGCAGTGAACTCACCTTTTTATACTGCCCATGCAACCGATGCTGACATCTCGCCTAATAATGTCACCAAGTATTATCTTGCCGAGAATACAAACGGTTTTCAAATTAATCCAGACAGCGGAGAGCTTAGTCTAACGACTTCGCTGAATTACGAAGTGCAGCAAAGTATACTAGTCAATATAATAGCGAGAGATAATGGCAAACCAAACTTATTCTACGCCAACCTAGCCCTCAATATTACTGTCCTTGATGACAATAATACTAATATCACTTTCCCGGCTTATTTCCCGCTACAATACTCCCTATCTGAGGACACTCCTCTCAATTTTATTATTTCAAATTTCACTGGCGAAGATCATAAAGGCAATCCTAAGCTCCATCTTGATTATTATTTGACTAATGACACTGGTGGGGTTCCTCTCGAGTTTGGAATAGAGAGAGAATCTTCGTCTGGGTATGCTCTTCTCTCGGTCATAGGAGCTCTGGATAGAGAGAGACAGTCAACGTACAATTTGAATATAACAATCAGTGATGGTAACACTCCTCCTAGCACTGTCACTCAATTCCTAACTGTTATAATACTGGATGTAAATGATAATTACCCAAAGTTTTCGTCACCTTCGTACTCCACATCCTGGGATGAAGAGAGACCGGGAAGGCTAGAAATAGACTCGCTCTCTGTTTCCGCTACTGATCCAGATGCAGGCGAAAACAGCACTATTGTGTACTCTTTACAAGATACTGTATCTGGGCTCTTCTCCATTGATTCCAATGGTCATATCTATCAGGAAAGAGCTCTAGACAGGGAGACCCAGTCCAACTATAGCCTTGTTGTAATTGCTTCTGATCAGGGTACCCCCTCGAAACAGTCTCAGGCTAGTGTTTTTATAAGTGTGACTGATATTAACGACAATAGTCCGACCTTTACGCCAACTAGTGTTCGATTGGATGAGAACTCTCACGTTGGGACTATAGTAACAACACTCGTAGGCAGTGACCCTGATGCTGGTTCCAATGGACAAGTCACTTTTATTTATGATACACAGACTTCTAATGCCTCCTCTCATTTTGAGCTTTATCCCAACGGCACGATAATTGTCATTGACATACCAGACTACGAGACGAATCCTCATTTCATATTTTTTGTCACTGCCCAAGATGGCGGAAGCAGTCCTCAAAAAACCCTTGGCAATGTAACAATCAGCCTCAACGATTTGAATGATAACTGCCCCGAATTCCCAGCCCCTGCCTCTCAGTACAACATCAGCGTCTTTGAGAATGCGTCTAGCGGTTACCTACTGATAGACCTCAATGCTCAAGATCTTGACCAAGGCCCAGCTGGTACCATCCTCTATGTATTCGAGAACATAGCTGACTCAAAGCAGTTTAGACTAGATAGAGACAGTGGTGAGTTGTCTCTCAATACTATGCTGGATTATGAAAGAGCAACTCATCACGAGGTTGGCATCCTGGCTTATGATCAAGGCAGGCCAAGAAACAGAATCTGCCGGCAGTCAATACATGTGTTTGTTAAGAATGTCAATGAGTTTGCTCCAACATTTGACGAGACACCTCTGTTTATATTCACAGTCGACGAGGGATTATCCTCAAGTGCTGTAGTTGGAAGGATAGTCGCTTTCGATCAGGACTCTGATTCCGTACTTAGCTACAGCCTCTCTTCCTCTCTCCAATTCACAATAGACAGTACTACTGGAGTCATAACCACACTAACTGAGCTGGACTATGAGACTGCATCATTTTATAATCTAACTGTTGGAGTCACAGATCAAGGTGGGCTCTCTTCTTATAGCTTTGTCCTCATACTCGTTGGTAATGTGAATGACGAGACTCCCTCCTTTGACTCCAACACATACACAACTTCAGTATCAGAGATAGCCAGTAATGGTACAGTGCTCTTAACTCTAACTGCTACTGATAATGACAATCACACCAATACACCAGTCACTTACTCTATATTAGGGGGAAACATTGGAGGCGTGTTTGGAGTTGAGCCAAAGACTGGAGACCTATTTGTTAATGGTCCGTTGGATTTTGAGAATGATGATAATTATGTATTGTCAATAAGCGCTAGTGATACCGGTATACCTAGCCGATTAGCCACTGCTAATGTTATTATTTCTATTATCAATCACAACGAGTTCTCGCCAGTCTTCTCTAATTCGTCGTATCATTTTAATTTAACTGAAAACTTACCCTCGGGTAGTGTCGTAGGGTCGGTCTCTGCCTCTGATTCTGATACTGGTAGTTATGGTGATGTGTACTATTCCCTTCAAACTCTCACTTCGTTCTTTACCATTTCGGAGACCGGAGTCATACGTACCCTCGTACCAATAGACAGAGAGGCCACGCCTACTCTACCAGCATTGGTAGTCGTTGCTAGTGACTCTATCAAGACCCAGTCTGTAAACGTGTTTATCAATATTATCGATCTAAATGACAACCGGCCATATTTCCCACAAAGTCTTTATGAGTTTTCTATTGATAACTCAAGCCTCCCTGGTGCTGTCATTGCTCAAATGTCAGCAGTTGATCCCGACCTTTCACCAGTGACATCATATTCCATATTAAACCCACCAGTTGGCCTACCAATAGTCATTAACTCAACTACCGGCTCTCTTTCTCTATCAACAGCTCTAACTCCAGTCAACAGTCCTTATGAGTTTACTGTGAAAGCAGTTGATGCCTTCAATTCTTCATTCGTTGCAGAAACTATTGTCAGGGTCTACCCAACCTCTAGCAACGACCATTATCCTAATTTCACTCAACCTATTTATCAAACGACTGTCAGTGAAAACGTCATACCCTCAGGCCCAATTGCACTCCCAAAGGCTACCGATCCAGACACTGGCTCAAATGGACTCAGGAGATACTCTCTACAATCTAACGGCTCCCTAATTAAAGATCAATTTCGGATCAATGAATTAGACGGGAAATTATTTCTTACACAAGAATTGGACTACGAAGTCATGACATCACACGACATCATTGTGTATGTGCGAGACTCCACCCCCTCACACCCACGCATGGCAATATCGCACGTCATTGTAACTGTTACGAATGAGAATGATAATCCTCCTAGTTTTGTTGACGTCCCTTCATCTCTTACCATTACATTCATACCTTACATAGATGTAGAACTATTCAGACTCAATGCTACTGATCCTGACGGATCTTCCATTACTTATCAACTGTGGACGCAAACTAACAAATTCTCCGTTGATCCAGTAACTGGAATAGTTACTAACATTATTGTACTTAATAGCTCTGTTACCTATTCACTTACTTTCCGTGTCAGTGATAGTAATTTTACAACCTCACATACTATGACCTTAAATATAGTCTCACCGGGATCTTCTCCATTAACTCCATCATTCACTAACGGTGATACAGTAATTCCATTCAATGTTGCTGAGACCTCAAGCATAGGGTCTCTTATCACTACAGTCACTGCTCTCCATTCCCCTACTAGCTATCACCTGGCCTGCTGTGATGAAGCTTTATCCGTATTCTCCTTAAGCTCCGGCGGGTCTTTCTCGGTCTCTAATGCTTTGGATTACGAGACTCAAGAAGAGTATCAAGTTATTTTCGAGGCCAGGAGAGTCTCTGGTACTACCAGATACTCCGACTACCAACAAGCAACTGTTACTATACAGAATATCAATGAGTACACGCCTACTTTTAATCCTGTCTCCAACCCGATCAAAGTGAATGAGAATACGGGTAGCAACTCTCTCATAGTTCAAGTATCAGCCGTTGATCATGATTCCGGCTCTTTTGGTATCATCTCATATCAAATCATCAGCGGTAACACTGATTTGGAGTCATTCAGTATTAATTCAACCAACGGTGCTATTAGAGTGGCCAGTGGTAAGACACTGGATCACGAGGCAGTCCCAATGTATAATCTATTGGTGAGGGCTAGGGATGGCGGAGGGAAGCAGAGTACCACAATGGTGAATATAATGGTACTTGATGTGAATGACTCTCCTCCTGTGTTCCCTGGTAATTATACCATGAGTGTTTTTGAGTCTGGGTCAGTCGGAGATAGAGTTTTAAAAGTGACTGCAACTGATGCTGACTCCAGCTCAACAGTTACCTATCAGCTAGGTACCGTCCATTCCTATTTTGATCAGATAAGTCGAGGAATGTCAAACAAGTTCTCTCTGGGCTCTACGACTGGAGAACTCACTTTAGCGAGTCTCTTGGATTACGAGACTGCTAACAGATATGAGTTTACCATCACGGCCTCCGATGGTCTTCATATTGACACGACACACATTGTAATCAATGTCCTGGACTCAAATGACAACCCTCCGTCGTTCCAATTAAGTACTTACCACAAATCTCATTTCTTAGAGCTCTCCCTCCCTGGTACATACGTTATACAGATTGAATCCACTGATGCTGACTCCAACAGGAACAGCATAATAAGGTACTCGCTGGGACAAGACTGGCCGACTAATAAATTCACTATTAATGAGTTTAGTGGAGTTATTAGAGTTAAAGAACCAATGGCTATAGAAGAGCTTCAGTCGTATGTGGGTGGGTGCTCGGCAGATGCGTGGATGTTTACAGGCACGGTTCTTGCCAATGATGGAGTATGGAATACGTCCGTTCCATTGACCATTAGATTCACTGATATCAATAAGTATGCTCCAGTCTTTGAGGGGAGTCCTTATAACATCATTACGTCTGAAACCACGCCCATAGACACGCCCCTTTTTGCAATGAACATAACTGATCAGGATTGCGGCCCCAATGCTGCAATCAGCACAACCTTACCACGCTATTACCATTATCCTTATGACCTGTTTAATTTTAAAATCATCATTTCTAATCAGTTATACAGCCTCAATACACAGAGGACTCTACCTCAGGGTATCTATCACTTCCGTCTGGAGGCTTATAATAAAAATCCCTCACCACTGAACCTGCCTATTTATTACAAGGCCTCTTATGCACATGTGACTGTTACAGTCCTTCCTAATAACACCCACGCTCCTATATTTGATGAAATTGGGTCTCTTTCTATTGATGAAAATAGCCTCCTAGAGACTGAGGTTGGTTACGTGAGAGCTACAGATCTTGATCTGGGAGTGAGCGGTTTGGTCCACTACTGGTTAAATGATACCTCAGTACCATTCGTGATAGATAATAGCACTAGCATGCTAAGAGTCAACGGTTCACTAGACTATGAGTCACAGGAGAGGTATAGTTTTTATGTGTTTGCCGCAGACAATGGCTATCCTGTTAGACAGACAAGCTTGCTAGTCGTAGTCAATGTACAAGACATGGATGACAACCCTCCTATATTTGTCTCTACTCAATTTAACGGGAGCATTTTGGAAAACTCACCACTTCAGTCAACTGTTCTTAATCTCAATGTGACAGATGCTGATTCAACTACCAGCGTAACTTACAGCATAACCAATAGGACCTCTCTACCATTCTCTATTGATCCACGTACTGGGGTACTAAAAACATCAGGAGACATTGATTACGAGACACAGACCGAGTACAATTTTAGTGTAATGGGAGCTAGTGAGTCTACACCATTGCTTAATTCAACTACACTAGTACGGATTAGTGTACTTGGCGTCAATGAATACCCACCAGTATTAGAGATTGCTAAGGACGTCATTCGTGTATCAAGAAATGCATCAAAGGGAGACGTGATCCTAACTATTAAAGCAACTGACTCTGATGACGGTAGTGATGGTTTGATAACTTACAGTTTCCGCATGTCCTCTCCTTATTTAGCTGTACACAACAATGGTAGCATTACATTAAACATGTCGTTAACAGATATACATGCACATCATGTCTTAGCCAATTCCGCGGGTAACAGGAAAAGACAGTCGCCTACCAACAGCTCTGAAATAATAGTTGAACTAGTTGTTGTAGCAACAGATGGGGGCAATCCTCCAAAAAGTGACACCAAAAACTTAACGGTCGTAATTCCAGAGGGTATATCCACAACTTCAGAGCCAACAAATACCAGTTCTCTTACGACTGAAGTCATTGTCATCATGTCTAGTGTAGCAGCATTCGTTATTATAATGATATTAGTTATTATCATTTGCATTTCAACAGTGTTCTCTCGTTCACGTAAACTCAAAAAGTCAAAGCTTGATCTTACTAGATCAAGTCGTGTCTGTGTTACTGAGATACCAGTGGAAGAGGAAGATGCTGTAAATGGCGGAAATGTTGAGCTCCAGCAGATAAGAGCAGTAGAGTCTGTGACTCCGACGAAAACCAGCTCAAACAGCAGATTAAACAAGCCACTCAATGACACTGCTCTCAGCGAAGGTGGTAACAATATTTATCAGGCGAATCCACACAGACCTTCTCCTCACACTCGAAGCACCTCAGACCTTGCCAGCTCCATTGCAACTGATACTCTTAACCTAACGCAAGATGCTGGATTCCCCTATTCCAAAGGTCAAATTGAAGCTATTTATGCCGCAAATGTTGACCTCTTACACGACGGCTCTCAGGCAAGCGTTCACACTTTTGGATCAGAAGGAGGCGGAGAGTCTGACGGGGATGAGATGGATAACGTTTATTATAAGTATGATAGGGACGTTGATGTAGAGGGATCAATGATGGAGGGAGAGGATGACCTCAGCTCTATTGGTGGTAAAGACAGGAACTCAATGATATCCGAGTCCTCTGATGGAGCTAGAGAAGACGAATATCATTTCAGTCAGAGCACAAACCCCTGGTCGTCCAGGCGCTCGATCAACGACCTCATCGGAGAGGGATCACACAGTTTAATGTACGGCTATCCTCATTCTCAAGGCATAGGTGGAGCTATTCCTTATGGGGCATCCACTCAAGGCTCTCACACCTCTTTATTACGAGGACATAGGCCAAACCCACAGTATAGAGTTGGAAGCGAAAGGGAGCTCCCACGGCAGTTATACGGTCATTCGCACAGACTAGGGCACCCTCCGCCCCCATTGGGATCAAACTACGAGTATTATCCTGAACACGAATTACACCAAGCCCCGCCCTCTCTCCACCCACGTATGTCAAACTCTCAACATTACGAGCCCCCAATGATGGAGTACAGGGGACGTTCCAGCGTCCCTAGGGGAGCACCCCCTCCTCCATACTTCACTCAAGACCCCATTCAGCATAGTTTGACCCAGAGTTCTACGAGAGGTGAGAACTATTATGCGCCAGGGTTCCTCGAGCCTTTAAATTTTGAGCGGCAGACACTCTCGACTTCTTCGACATCACTTAGTACGAGTGCCAGTCATCCCAACAATTACAGACACAATAGTAACGGATATCATTGAAGAACTATCGTGTTGCAAACGCTGTACTAATATTTTGTTATTATTTTCCTAATAATAATTATGAGTAATTTTATTTTGTCTATAACATGTTCCCATGTTTCTTTACTATCTGTTATTGTGTTCCCTTCAATGTCTGCATGTTTGTACGATAATCTGTAATCAAATTTTTATTTATAAAATTAATATCCAGTTTTAAATAATACTTAATGACAGCAATAATTTTAATGATAATGATGGTTCAAGATGATGTTAAGCTATGGAGTGATCTGTCAATAGCATTTATAAGTGTTTCCGCATTATCTTTACTGAATGTAATGGGAGGCTTAATCTTTATCACATTGTGATCGACTCCATCTTCTCTTAGCAGCACATTGTGCTCCAATAAAGCTCTAAAGTATGAATGAATATTATAATTGGTGTCATACTGTCATGTGATCAGAGCATGATTGTCATGTGACTAACTTCTTTACTAATAGTTCTGCCATGACTCCATCAGCTACTTTTACATTATCAACTTCTTTGATGATTTCAATACCAATAAACAGGCCAATGCCTCTGAATACAAAAAAAAGATTAATAATAACAACACTTGAGTATAGCGGTTAGCATGCAATGAATTATAGCTAAATTTCAATCAAAACTGGCTTTATTACAATTCTTAAAAGTTACTCAAAAATCCGGCCAAAAATCATGTACTACAGTACAGGGTCACAGGCCAAAATTTAAAAGGAGAGAATTTTCCATTTTTATATTTTTTTTCTGATACATAAACATGTACTTATGCTGCATAGAAAATTTGAGCTAATTCCGATCAAATTTGGATTTTTCACGAATTTTTAAAGTTGCTGAAATCAGACAAAAGACTATGGTACTATAATGTCAAGCTAAGATCAATCACTAAATTATGCAACTATTGTAATTTTACTTCATTATTAGCTCAATTACCTTACATCTCCAATGCAGCTATACTTGTCTTTTAATATTTTAAGTCTTTCTAGTACATAGTTGCCCATTGAGAGTGCATTCTCTTGCAATTTCTCGTCGGAAATGATGTCCATCACTGTATTAGCTAATGCTAATGAAAGGGAATCAGAAATAAACTATAAAGCAGGAAAAAAAGGAGAAGAAAAAAAAACAAGAATACAATGCAAGATAAATAGGAAGAAAATTACACACTTCATTCAAAATGTGTGGTCCGTGCTTATCAGTAAACTTCTTAACCAGTTCTGATTTTGTCATTACAGCTGAAATGGGATGACCATTAGCCATTGGCTTACCCAGCACTAGTATATCAGGAATAGCTCCTATACAATAGATAGAGAGGAAAAAAGAGGGAGAGTGGTAAAACTAAACGAGAAATCAGACTCACTGTGTGTTTGGTGTAGCCAGAATTTGACGCCGGATCGAGCAAAACCTGTTTGTACTTCATCAGCGATACACAGCCCACCTGCTTCACGAACATACCTTTAAAATAAACAGAATAAATAAACTCATAAATAATAAATAATAATTTACTTGTAAACTGTTTGAAGGTAGCCAGGAGGAAGGGGCACCTGACCAGCTGTTCCTAAGAACGGCTCACTAATGAAGGCTGCAATCTGTTCTTATGAAAGTAAAATCAAAACTATCATTAGCTTTAACATACCCCTTTTCCTTGACTCAAAACTGACTCCATTTGCGCCTTTACATCATCAGCATACAACTGACCAGCTGTCTTTGGATCTTTATACTGCCCTCTGAATATATCAGGCTTTGGAACCTAGAGGAATACGATATAAGAAAAGGAGAGAGAGTGAGGTTTTAGTGTTATAGTGTCTCACAATGACTGCATCAGCTTCTATTTTGTAGGTGCTGTCAGTGGTTGCTTGATTCATCTTATAAGTACTGAGACACATAGTGGCTTGACTGTGTCCATGATATGCCCTGAATACAATAAAGAGATGCGTATAAAATAATGTAGAGTAGAAATTAGGGTAAGAAGCAGTAAAAATTAAACCACAACTTATCAAAATACATAAAAGTAGGAATTCAGCCCTTACCCATCCAACACTAACACTTGAGTACTTTCAGTGACAGCCTTAGCTATACTCAATGCTAAATCGTTAGCCTCTGAACTAAAAAAAAAAATAAATGTACCAAATTATAAATGAATGCATAGAGCATGCCTTTGATGCATGCCTAAGTTATGGATAATGAATATACTTATAGATTATGCAGTATAAAGTTAAATAAGATTACACAACATTATCCATTTTCCATGTTAATAACACCACAAGACGACAACACGATAAAAACGCAATCTTACCCTGATCTTAAAAACAAGATGACATCAAAATCAGCTTCCGGCACTGTCCTAAAGATCTTTGCCATATAGTCCTCTAGGAGCCTGTCGTCTGGGAGGAGAGTACCATCAGGGGATACCCTGAATGAAGGATTGGCTAACTGTTGACGCAGTACTTGAACTAATCGAGGATGACTGTGACCAACTGGAGAAATGGAGATAAAATGGGGCAGGTGCATAATCATCATAATAATTATTTTTAATTTTTTATGAGAGATTGGGAGTTTTATTATAGTAATTCTTACCCAGGGCCACGTTATTAATACAATCAAGGTAGTGCGTCCCGGCATCATCTATGAGGAACAAGCCATCACCTTTGACAATGTGGAGCGGCTTGTACTCGGAGTAATGAAGGCTGAGAGAAGGGCTAAAGAGAGAGAATGTGGTAACAATTGACTATTATTTTAATTGTCTCTGTTACCTCACGTATTTTTTCCTTAAATCTATGGCATCTGCTGTTGGTAAGGCCTGGGGAATATCTGTACTAGCAGTTGAGGACATCATGCTCTACTCTTGTGATTTGTAAATAACATTTGGTTAAAAAAAAAACCATAAAATCAAAATTAAAAACTTGAATAAGCCACGCCTTCACAGCCTGCAGGAAATGAGCCCCACCCACTTATTTTAATCAGGTTTGCTGAGCTTCATTACTTATGATTATTTTTTTATAAAAAGAAGTGATCGAACAATAATAATAATACATACAAAGAAACTAGAACAGTAATTATTATTTTCTAAAATCCTACAAAAATAAAAAAGAGTACTGTTAATAATGGATATCATTGCGTTGCAAATACCTGAGCAATTTTATGTATCTTTTCAAATAATTCTGGGAATATAGCACGAATGCTTAAGTCAATCAAACCTTGCAAGTACTTGACCGCTTCCTCATCCGACAGATCTAGCCTGAACTTATCCTCCACCTGTAATCACACAAAAAGAGAGAGAGAGAAAGAAGAGGAGTGAGGGAATACAGAGGGAGGCATGGAGGAATAAAATACATACTTTCTGAACTGTTTTGTCGGGTTCTAGAGCAATATCAGGAACACCCGAATCAAGCATTAGGGAAAAAAGATTTAAAAATAAATTAGCAGACCTGAAAAAGAGAAGCAAAAAAAGAATGAAAGCAACTTAATGATCATTTGATATTTTTCCTATTCACCTTCTCAAAGTGAGAAAAGCATTATAGCAATGCTCCCTAAACTGAGAAAATTCTTTGCTTGAAGTACCCCCCATAGCATCAACCTGGAGTAAGTGGACAAAGAAAAAAAAGATACACATTTTTTACTCCAACAAGTTGTCTTACCATTTCTTTGCTTAGTCTCATTGGAGGCGGGAATATCTTTGGGTCTCGTCCAAGGATGTATCCGAAATCAATGTGTATTAAATTGCCAGTCTCCATTAGGAGCAGGTTGTCAAGGTGACGGTCCCCCACGCTCAAAAGGTAAGTGATAACAGAGTAACCAGCTAAAGAAATAGTGTAATTAACTTTTGTAGTTATACTATTCCTAGTTCCTACTCTATGAAATTAGTTAAATTTATAAAATTAAAAATTTTATCCTTTTCAATTTTGGTGAAATTTGGCCTGTGACCCTGTACTATAGTACAGGGACTTTGGCCCGATTTTTGAGTAACTTTAAAAAATTCATTAAAAATCCAAATTTGATTGGAATCAGTTTAAACTTTCTACACAACATAAGTACATGTATATACATCAGATAAAGTTATAAAATTGGAGAATTCTCTCCTTTTCAATTTTGGTGAAATTTGGCCTGTGACCCTGTACTATAGTACAGGGACTTTGGCCCGATTTTTGAGTAACTTTAAAAAATTCATAAAAATTCAAATTTAATCGGAATTAGTTTAAACTTTCTACACAACATAAGTACATATATATACATCAAATAAAGTTATAAAAATGGGAAATTTTTTCCTTTTCAATTTTGGTGAAATTTGGTCCGTGGCCCTGTACTATAGTACAGGGACTTTGGCCCGATTTTTGAGCAACTTAAAAAATTCATTAAAAATCCAAATTTGATCGGAATTAGTTTAAACTTTCTACACAACATAAGTACATGTATATACATCAGATAAAGTTATAAAAAGGGAAATTTTATCTTTTTCAATTTTGGTGAAATTTGGCTTGTGACCCTGTACTATAGTACAGGGACTTTGGCCCGATTTTTGAGTAACTTTAAAAAATTCATAAAAAATTTAAATTTGAGCAGAATCAATTCAAACTTTTTACACAACATAAGTACATGTATATACATCAGATAAAGTTATAAAAATGGAGAATTCTCTCCTTTTCAATTTTGGTGAAATTTGGCCTGTGACCCTGTACTATAGTACAGGGACTTTGGCCCGATTTTTGAATAACTTAAAAAATTCATTAAAAATCCAAGTTTGATCGGAATTAGTTTAAACTTTCTACACAACATAAGTACATGTATATACATCATAAAAATCAAGAATTCTCTCCTTTTTAATTTTGGTGAAATTTGGCCCGTGACCCTGTACTATAGTACAGGGACTTTGGCCCGATTTTTGAGCAACTTAAAAAATTCATAAAAAATCCAAATTTGAGCGGAATCAATTCAAACTTTCTACACAACATAAGTACATGCATATACATTAAATAAAGTTATAAAAATGGGAAATTTATTTCTTTTCAATTTTGGTGAAATTTGGTCTGTGGCCCTGAGCCACTTAAAAAATTCATAAAAAATCTAAATTTGATTGGAATCAATTTAAAATTCATGCACAACATAAATATATGTACATACATCAGATAAAGTTATAAAAATAAAGTATCTTATTCTAGAGAAATTTGGCCTGTACAATAATCTATGGTTTTTGGCTGAATTTCGAAGCAACTTTCAAAATTCCTTAAAAAGTGTCAAAGTTAAATCTTTACAAAATTTACAATAAATTCACAAAAATCATTTTTCCAACATACCACAACTCTTAATGTAAGTATCCATTATCTCAGGTGAAATACCATAAGCTCCTTTATCACTTGAACCATGGGCACGGAAATAGGCCTGTATAGACTTGTGTGTTGCAAGAATGTGTGCAACAGTGTCTGACCTCTGAATTAACTGAACAAAACCTAAAAGAACAAGGAACAGGAAACAAAAATAATACAAATAATATAAATAATAAAATAATTTAAATTACCTAAAGTGCCAGAGCAAGCAAGGACTTTGTATGGGGTTAGTTTCAAGTCCAAGTTCTCTCTCCTTAATAAACGATCAATCAACATTATCATTTGAAGTATCAGCTGATCTTGACGCAAATCATCGCCAACTTTAAACATAACCTTTAGAGAAGAAAGATATTAAATGCAGCAATAATTATTATTCTCTTACGGAATATTTCTCTCCAGATTTTACTTTAAAGTTAAATCTAGCAGGCATCAAAGCACTCTTGAACAGTGTAGCCTCTGAAGGAATTATACCTGTAGCCTAGACAAAGAAAGAGAAGAGTGGTGGAATCTATAATAATATAATATACTGGAATGCATGCTGTTTACAAAAATACTCTTGTGGTTTTTTCATAATGCTTAATAATTATTAATTAACCAATAGATAGGCAAGGCCATCCTCTTGCAAATAACTTGCTAGTTGCTATCATACATAGCTAGCTCTCGCTCGTTTTTTTCTCTTTCTTTCTCGCTCCATTAGACTGCCTGTTATATATTAACACTACTCCTCAATGAGTCAGTCGACTAGAGAAGCAGAGAGAGGTAAGAAAGGGGCTTGTACGGGGGCTTGTTATTGTGTTGTTAACACTCTCGCTGGAGGGCGTTTACACAAACAGTGAGAAGAAACAATGAAATGTATTCTTTCTTCTTTATCTCATAGATCTGCAGAGGGTTCTCTACAGTCCCAATGGGGAGAGCTATGCTCTCATCTTCAACATAGCCGATTTCGCTCCTCCGTGCCTCCTTCCCCCTAGATGCGGGAGCGAGAAAGATGTCGAAGAAGCGAGGAAAGTGCTCGAGGAGAGAAACTTTACAGTTCACAGTTTTCCTGACTGTACCGCAGATGAAATCCGAAAACGCCTAAAAGTGATAGGAGACGACCAAAGAAACTTTGAGAGGTTTGTTTGTGTTATAAATTTGTTATGACTGTAAATTATCATTTACCTACTTTGTTATGAGTAAAAGAATACAGCATCAAGGACTATCTATCGTTTATAGGTATCGCTGTCTCTTTGTTCTTATAATGAGCCACGGATACCAGAACGGTATCTACGCATCAGATGGAAGCTGTCTCTCCTTTAACGAGATCCAGTCTTTTCTTACCTCGGCTGCTTGTCCTGCTTTCTGTGAAAAACCAAAGTTGGTTTTTGTCCAATCGTGTAGAGAGAAATCAGTCAATAGTCCTGACGACAGTGTTAGAGTGCTAGAAGAAGATATTCATCTGTCTTTTGCAGGACAGTTGTTTTCGGAAACATTCAGAGATTCAGAAAATGGGGCATACTACGTCAGATATCTGTTTGAGACGATAAACGAGTTAGGAGATGACGAGGACTTGCAGGCGATACTGACGGAAGTTACTAGAAAAATGAAGGCCGCCTCTCTTCCACTTCCAGACAACCGTGGCCTACTTAGGGACAAAGTATACCTGCCATTGTAAGTAGAGGAAGAGCCTGTTATAATTCCTTTCAATACATAAATATTTATATCGTTTTATTTTCATTTTAGGAGAAGAGGCAGAAAAATAGTCCATGGCAGAGAGAATCGAGAAAGCAAAGGAAGAGAGGTAGTAACTCCAAACTCATCATCTATTTCAACTGACATGTCCTTTGCAAGAAACAGATTTGCAAGAGTTAGCCAGAAAAAGGTAAGCGAATATAAATACCATCATCACATTCTAGCTTCATGCTCCCTCTTTTTACCATAGTGCTGTAAGTCTCCCGATAGCTCTGGTGTCGAAATAGAGCAATCCTTTGATAAGAGTACGAACCATGAAGGTATTTCTATGATTATCATTATCATTATTATTGAAATTTGGAGCAACATTATTTCACATGAGTATACAGTATTTTTGCTTTGCCTCAATAAACAAAATGAAAAAGTTTTTCATTTTATTATTAATAACAATCATTTTTCTCCTGTAGCACCATCAATGGTGTCCCTGCCTGACTCAAGACTATCCCAATGTTACATGTCACAGTCCATTAGAATTCCCGCATTAGCTCTCCTGATCAATAATAACGTAGACACCTCTCACTGCCTTCCTCTCAAAACAGTCCTTGAGAATACTTGTCGATACTCTGTCATTGTGCTAGAGAATATAACAACAGATTGTCTATACAGCATATTAGGAGCCATCCCAAATGACAGCACACTGGAATCATTTATGCTTATCTTCACAAGCGCTGGAGGCAGCAATTCACTTCACGATTCAAACGGGGAAGTGATACGTATTGAGGAACTACTCAGACGCATTCCAATGCCACTCATTTCTACATGCAATGTTCTTGTAGTTGTTCAAACTATTGTCGTTGATAAGATTCAAGTGAGCACAGATGAAATGTCCCAGCTAAGCAGGTGCAAGAGTCTATTCAGTGACAAAGAAGCTCGTTTAATCGTCAGCCATGTCTCTGTTTCTTCTCCCACCTTCTCCATTTTGGCCCAGAGGATTCAAGAGTTTCACGAACATGACCACTACTCGGTCGAATTCTTATTAAGCGTGACCTGGGGCAATACTGATGAAGTAGTACACTGGCATAAGACAATATCATTCAATGGAGACTATTCCCTTTGCATCACGGAGAGGTAAGACACTTAATAGTACACACACATAACGTTGTAATTTGTAAGCATAAAGTAAACACATTACTATAAGCAAGAGGAGAGCAGTGTACATCAAAGAAATAAGAGTGAATCTAAAGATACATGTACAATGTAAATGTAAACATCACAATGATTACAGCTGTATTTTTAGTTTGTATTATAATTATAACAAATCAACTATGCACAATTTGAACATAATCATACATAAGTATGTTATTATACCGTGAGAAGCAAACAAGTAGTTGTGTTGGCAATGTGCCAAAAGATAGAGAAGTATTTTAAGTTGTGGAAGGGGACTTTACCTGGGAAAGCCCCTCTCTTAACACAGGCAGGGAATGTCATGCAATATTCATTGCTACATATAGATACTGCATTAATAAGTTAAAGCATGTAATTCTCATTGTAGTAAAGTAAATAGCCACAGACGATGATAAGTAAACATAAAGAAAACATCCCAGTGAGAAGCAATAACTTTATGAAGGGGCTTTTCCCTGGGAAAATCAGAGTACCACCTCCTTTATATCAATGTGATAGCTTATCCAGCTATTAACCACACATACAATAATGCTATATAATTTTAGTATTAGCATAATTTCTTTATTTCTTTTTTAGGTCCATTCAAGATATGAACCTGGCCACTCTCGTGTGCTCAGCCAAAATGATGTTTTCTCTCGGGCACCTCCTATACTCAAGAAGAGATCTGGTACTTGAATTAATGAGAAAAGTTCAGAGAGAAAACGTCCCAACACTTCATCAATGTCTACAAGAAGGACCGAACACACACGTAGCCCATCGGTTGCTCCTAGGGATCGTTACAACACAGAGAGAGCTCTTTGACTTATTTAAAACAAGCCTAAACATCTTTTCAGCACCAGATAATGACTTGAAATTTAACGAGCTGCTAGAGGAGTGCCTCCTGTACATTGGATCAGGAAGAGACAACATGATTGAGATGATTTACGAAGCGGTAACAAGTGAGAGATATCGGTGGTGCAACCGGGAGAAAATGCTCAAAGATGGTGAAGGTCATACCATTGACTTAATAAACGAAATAAGAAGCCACATATACCGCCGACCAATGCAAGAAGAAGGGGAGGAGCCAGTTGCTATGGCAATCGAGTTCAATACTGCAATGATGAGTAATGATGATGTCACATTTCGTGAGTTGGTACAAGATGATATATTGTTTAACGAAAACGAGGAGGTGGTTATGGTAACAGGCGAAACAGCAGGTGCTCAAGAGAACACTCATCTTCCCTCTCCTTCCTCTAATCCTCTCTCTCTTTCAGCACGACCCACTGGAGATCACTCGGTTCTGAGAATGATTAATACTGAAGATTTCGTTGAGGTAGTACCAACGACACTCACACAGAAGGAAACTCAGGATGAATGGGTTGTCCTTTCGTACAAAGACTCAAGCGTCCAATCAGCCGATCTAGTGATCATACTGGATCAAGTGGAGGTCGATGATTTCGTTGAGGTGGTACCAGTTCCTGTCGCGTTCCATCAAAGGGATGACGACTGGTTGGAGATATCACCAAAGAGGAGGGCAGTGGATCCGCATAGCCATTAAAATCACTATCCAGTTTGACATTATTCGATCCATCACCACCCAATCTTTAAGAATATTCAAATTGTATACTATATGTAATAAATTGCAACAATTTATTTATCATTTATCATTGTTTGGCTGTACACATGCATTCACTTGGCGTACCCATTCATCATTTTCTGTCATAATGTGTAATTATAAATCATAATTTATGTTCTACACACAATATAAGCACAGCTGATTAAATTCTATTAATAAAATTATTGAATCATGTATTATGATGATGATGATGATGATGTTAATTACAGGGTTTAACCCACTGGACATAGTTATTAAACTTAACAATATTCATTAGACATACAATGAACAACTATTCAACAGGCCAGTCAAGCAGACACACCACATACACGTATTGCTGATGCTAGCTATAAATATCATCATTACATCAGAATTTCAAAACAAAGAAGAAAGAAGCCATTATTAGCAAAGATCAAGTGAGTTTATACTTAAAATGACATATTTAAATAAAAATAGTCTCATTTATTAACAGCTGGCAATATCAGGACTTTAATGAGCGACTAGAGCTACCAGAACTTCAATGTGAAAGACAGTATATCATTGCAAGAAGATTTGACATTACACAGTACTCAAGCATACAGTGACAGACAGTAAGTACAGCAGTGGAGCAGAACCAATATGGGGAATGAAAGTAAGTTATGACAATACAACAAAATAAGCATGATAATATGAGAAGCACAACATGCATGAGAACATACTGCTAGGCTGTACTGTGAATTCAAGCATCAGCTAAGCTCTGCTGCATATATTGCTTTGCTGTTTTGACATATACTGGATAGTGCTGTGTTGTACTTTAGTACTCAGTACAATATAGTGTAAATGTTTCCTTCTTATGCTTAGATTCAAAGACAATCAAACAAAACAAGGACAAAGATACACCACAGGAAGAACAGACAATGGCAAATAAGCACGGCAAAAATGAGAGACAGAACAGCTCTGAAAACATTTCTATTTTAAAGAAGAGAGACACCTCAGCCATTCCTCCCCCGTCCCTCTCTCTCTCTTCCTCTCTACCCCATCTCTCCTCTACCTCTCCATTTTCCTCTTCTAATCTATCGTCTTCCTTCTCTCCCAACTCTCACTCCTTCCCAATACTAACAATCATTAATACCAGTGAGGAGGGTGGGACCCAATCACCAAAGACACAGAAAGATGAACTTAAAGGGCCAGAAATAGAAACAAACAATGAAGACTCTCAATCTTGCATTCTTGAACAAATACCAATGTCAGTGTCTCCGCCCACACATTTTAATTGCAATCAAAGACGGCTTAGAGGGAGCGAGAAAAGAAAATTAAATAAAATAAAGAGGAAAAAGAGGAAGAGAAAGACAAGACTGATGAAGATGCATAAAAGCAGCTCGCCGCCTCACAAGAAAATAAAAATGAGTAAAAGAGAGAAGAAACAGAGTGAAAGCGAAAATGAAAACAGTAAGAGTATTATTACTATTATTATTATTATTATCAATATATTGCCATTTTTAGGTGATAAGGCAGAAAAAGATACCAAAAGTACAACAATTACTAATCAAATTCACAGCGACGCACCAGCAGAACAAGAAGGAAGTGGTCAAGAAGAAGGCGGAGTTGATAACCCAAATGAAGAGTTTACATTTTTTGATACAGAAGTTAAGGGAGAGATAAGGAAGGGGGAAGGATGTCATGAGGAAATAGTGGATGGGTTTGTTAACGTGCACTGTCTCCCATCAATACCTCAGCTTATATTTGAAGAGACTGATGGAAACTGGTTGGATATATCAATAAAATAAAGAGAAAAAAACACTTTAAAAAAATTTTGTGATTTCTTGCTATTTTAAGCTGTTATATATCTATAGCCTAACTCCTTGTAGCTCCCCTCATTAGTTAATAGCTGTGGAAGCTTGGACCTGTCTGTTTCAATTTGTGCTTTTGCTGTAATTATATTAATTTGTTTTCACAACGATACTAGTAATAATAATGAGTATAATTCAATAATTCAACAAATGGGTAATTTGACCCCTAGCTAAAGGCATTATGTACTGTGATTGCATCAGTACACCTAACAGTTTATTTATCATTATGGTTGTTCACATAGTTACAACCCACACATTATCAAGACACCAAATCACATGCGCCACACGGTGGGTATGCAAAAGCAATGCCAGCAAAATTAAAGCTACGTCAGTGTGCAGCAACTCTTGTACATTTCAAAGGTTAGGTGTTAGTTAAAAACAGAAATGGGCACTGCTAGTAAGTAACTCTAAATAATAGAAAATTAGAATCAAATGGTGTTCTTTAGATAGCAAACCAGAGAAAGGAAAGAAGAGCAAAAAATCAAAGAAAAATGAGGACAGAAAAACAAGTCCTTCATCTTCTCCTAGAAGCCTCTCTAAACCTATCCCAGCCTCTACTACTCCCCCTCTTGACTCCTCTCCTTTTCAATCTCCTATAACTATTCATGACCTCAATGCTTCTCCTAGAAATGGCAGGAGAATGGTAGTTGCTAAGCCATGCACAAGTCAAAACACAGAGCAATCAATGATGGTAGCATCTTCAGTCTCACTTAATACTTCACGTACATCTGTAGTCTCTGGATTGCTACACGCTAAATCAACAACTTACTTGCCAGGGAGTGGGAATTATCAGACAATGACTAAGCAGGATGGTAGAAGAACAGCTCTAAGTTCTTTGTCTTCCCTCGGCCCTCACTCGTTTTCTTTGTCACCTGTACCCATACAATCAAGTGAACCATCCATTTTTATACCACATTCATCATCAGGGAGTCAGACATTGAGAAGAGAGGAATTTAAAAATGAAGACGGTAAAAATTAAAGATATACACACACGTATAGTGATATTACAAAAATATTTGTTTTTTTCCTTCTAATATAGATGATAAGATAGAGCAGCCCCTGGAAGAGCCCAGTGATGCTGTAGCCATAACCAATGAAACAGAAGACATGAATGAAGAGCGAATAAATACAGCAGAACCAGCTGCAGTGCCATTATGTACAGAGCCTATTGAGCAAGAAGCTCCAGAGTCTAGTGCACCAATATTCAATTATGAAGAGAAAGAAGAGGAAGAATTCACAATTATAGATGTACCAGTTCTAGTGCCTGTTGAGGTCAAAGAAGGGGACAACGAATATCTGGAGATAACAATAATACACAAGGACTAGACTACAACAACATCAATTCACCCACACACAAACACACACACACGCGCGCACGCAATTAACATTTGACAATGCACAGTATTCAGCATCACACACATGTTTAAACACTTTTTACATGCATTATTAACTATTTATGCAACAATATGATCCATCTACAGGAAGTCACAAGGTGCCGAGGGTGTAATATGTACAATAAAATGTGATATCCATTGTTCTTGCTATTATAAATATTATTAACGAACAATGCTCTTAATTTCTATTATGATTGTCAAGCTGATGTCAGTTGAATATCACATGACAAAAAACAAAACTCAGCAGTCAAATATAAAAAAATGGCCACTTCTCTCTCTCCCTCTCTTACAGATGACTCTAGAGTACGGGTACAACCCTTTTTCACTCCAATGCCTTCTGATAATGTTCCAATCACACCTTCTTCTACTCTGGCATCATCTCCTGAAAATCATGATGTTGTATCGCTCTCTTCATCTCCTTCAGGACATGAGGATCCCTTTTCTCCTAAAGTTTCGTTTTGTCATTCTAGTGAAGACACTAGTCAAAAGGAATTAGTTGTTGCAGCTACTACTGGCCAGAAAATATTACAATTTTTTTCAAAAGGAGCAGCAAATTTACGTAGGTATAGACATGAGAGAACCTCACATAAAACGAGACTTGAAAAACAAGCATCTCCCACACTTTGGTCAACTTCTTCTTCATCTCCCACTCCCAGTCCTTTATTAAAAGGACGCCAAAGAAGAAAACTCAAGACAAAAGAAATGCATAGACTTAAGAGGAAAAGCAGTGCTGCTATTGACATACCAATGCGAGTACCTAGACCTTACAAGACTCCTGAAAGCAGCATAGGAACTGCAAACAGTAAGGACTGTAAAACGCCCAGTGAAGGTGAAGGCTCAGATGGTAAGTAATACTTAAATGAATAAAAGTTATTATAAAATCTTTCCTTAGTATCAAAAGAGTCAAAGAAAGCCTTGGACGACAAAACATCTCTTAAGCAGGAAGAAGACAATAATAGTAGAAGAAGAGTCACAACAGTTAAAGAAGAAGATGACTATGTGGTTGTGGATATTGAGTATGTCCCAGCTAATACAGAAGAACATTGCTTATAAAGAATTATGTGACTTGATCCAATGCAAGGAAAGTCAATAATAATTAATGACTTTAATTAAGTTAAAGATAATCAAATCAGGTCCATTTATATATAAGTTTAAAATTAATATGCTACAAGATAAAAGTGTATTGATTGGATTGATTATTTCTTTTTTTGTGGAAATTCTTTTTTAAAAGATTACACAAAACATAAAATTTAAAATACAACACTTGCATGCATGTGATAAATGAGGCTAGGAATAAAATATCTTAATGAATATGGCCAATATCACAAGACCTACTGAATGGCTATGAATTAAGTAACAAAGGTCACTCAGTGCTATTTCACAAACCAGAAGAAAAAGAAAGTAAAGAAAGATGGGAGCTTGTTGCTTCAGTAAGTCTAATACATCATTATGAAAGTGTATGTAATTTTCTTATTCTCACACCAGAATCCAGTGCAGTACTAGAGACTAGTGAAAGGGAAAGTCCTCAAGATGAGCTAGCTCTCAACTCCCTCCCAACTAGTGATACAAGCAATGATCCTGAGCAAACCATTGGTGAGGTGACATCAAAAGAGGATGCTACCAAAAATCAGCCAGAAGCTAAGGGTAGCAATGATAGCAGTCTCACTGAGTCAGTCCCACCCCTTGAGCATGATGATGATGAATACTTGGTGGTTGAAGATAAGAAGAATGAGGATGAGCTTAGGGAGGAGCAGACCATCATCTCTCCACTACCTTCACCATACCAAACCTACCCATTCACTGTCGATGAGCCAGAACCAGAACCAGAGGAAGAGCCTGAGCCTCAAGTAGAAGACAAAAGCATTGAAAAACCCACAGAAAAAGAGGAAATCCCACAAGAAGAGGTAATGCCCCAAGAAAAGGAAATTCAACAAGAAGAGGCTACAGCTTTGGAGGTCATTGCTAAAGATGAGAGTCTTACAAGAGGAGAGCTGGTCCTTTCCAGTTCACTCATTAGCTATGACATCATATCTGAAGTTGATCCAAAGTCGCTTGATGCTAGATCCAAGAAAGTGAATGTTACTGAGAAAAGCAATGGTAGCAACAAAAATGAAGACGGTAAGAAAAAAAACGAAATAGATACTTCATTACTAGCTCTATTTTCTCTCCTTATATAGTTACTGCCCCAGAGCAACCTGAAGAACAGAAGTACACCAGTTTCAAAAAGGACACGATGAGCAATAAGAAAAATGCTGAGGATAAGTACAAAACAGAAGTAGTTCGCATTGAGGATGATGAGTTTGTTAGTGTCGAATATAAGTGAACTAATGAAGCCATTTAGTTATATTAATGCACACTAGTTGTTATTTCACACATTAACATGCACAAACAATGTATATAACATATCATGCTCAAGCTAAATTTTCTGTTATATAATTTTAATGCAATTTTGTTTGAATCACAGTCTGCTATTGTCAAATTTTTAAATGACACATTGATTTTTGTTATTATTTCCATTGTGTTGTTGGATTTTTTGTGCTCTTTAATATTGTTCTATTTTTAATTTTGCAAATAATTTGTATGTACGCAAGAAGGAAACAGGATCAAAAAGCAACCCATGCAGCATATTGCACAATACAAGGTCAACCCTGGAAACTATCTATGGTCAACCACATTGTCATGATAAAAAAATTCATAGTCTCTAAGGAAATGCATGATGATGACAATGGGTGTGGCACCCTCTACAGTAGTAAAGCAACACTGGCCTATCCCTATACTATAGATCCTATACCAAGTCAAAACACTAAAACTGTGAAAAATATTCTTTATAGCCATAGGAGGCTGTGGATTGATCATTGGTGATGTTACACAGTGTACTCAGTAAGCAATAAAGCTACAATATCATTTTTACCAAAAGGTCAGAAATGAATCATGTGAATGTTCATGTCAGCATTTATGTACTACACAGTACATAGTGCAATATTCACTACTTATTGTTTTTAATGCTGAAAGTAAAGAGGTCAAGGTCATTCTTTAGAGAGGAGACAAAGGAGCTGTAAGGGAGTGAGAGACTATCATAGTACAAGTGTAAGGAATGGGGAATGAACTGAGTGCAAGTAAGTGAAAACTAACTACCTGAGCTGCAATTATCACCCTCCAATAGGTAGCATCTATAAGAAAGGCAAAGGCTACTGTCTTATCATTAATAACAGAAAATTTGCCAAGTTACTCTCCAGAGGGGAAGAGAATGAAACCAGCAGTCACGAGAAAATAAAAAATGCTTTTCTCGATCGTGGCTTTAGAGTCAAAATCCTAACAGACTGCACAGCTAGTGAAATGATAGAGGGAATTCAAAAACTTCAAAACTCTAAAAACTACAGCTCCCTCTTTATCTTCTTTCTCTCCCATGGCTATGAAGGTGGAGTGTATGGCACCAATGGGGTCTGCCTCAGCTTTGAAGAGATACAAAATCAACTGACAACTGCTAACTGTCCATCCTTTACTGACAAGCCAAAAATACTAATATTCCCAACGTGTTCTATGGGCGAGTGTCCAAGCCTTAGAGCAAAAGAGGATGATTTCTTACTCGTCTTTGGGACTCAATCTCATTCTCCAGCCTATAGAGATGAGGAGTTAGGATCAGGCTATATTGAGAAGCTGCTAGAAGTCATAGAAGAGAGAGGGGATGGAGAACACATGGAGGCAATCCTAGAAGAAGTACAGAGAAAGATGAGAAATAATGGGGACACTGTGTCACTGGGTCCAAACTATCAGAGCTCACTTAAAGATAAACTATACTTAAAAGCAAAAAGGTAACACACACATATATATTATGTAGTCCTCGTTTTATAATTTTATTTTATAGGAGATGGTCAAGCTCCAAACTTGTTACTGGTAGTGATAGAAAGAGCCATCAAACAAATGGTATACAAGAGGTTGGGAAGAGAGAGGAACAAGTGATACCAGAATTATCTGTTTCGCCCAGTCATTGCAAAATAGTTCCCGGACTGCTAGTAGCATCAACTAGCAGTATATGTACTCCACAGTCCCTTGAAAGATCACCTCATTCGTCCTTAGAAAGCGGATCACTTGAGGGCATCAATATAAAAGTGAAAAGCTCAGAGAGCCAAGAATCGTTAACGGAACTACTTGAGCAAGTACCGAATGAAGTACTCAATGATGAAGAGTTTTTCTCGGACGAGGAGAGAGTCGATCGGGAAGAACTTTCACCGACACTTCTCTGGGATGACACAGAAGTAGACAAGGAAGGAAAAGAGGAGGAGAGAGTGGAGGAGAGGGAGGAGGAGCAAGAAACTGTCACACACACTCCAGAGAGAGAGGAGAGAGAAGCTTCTATACATACTCCATCAATAGTTTGTGTAGTGACAGTAGAAGGATGGGTCAATGTAAATACTAATATCAATGAACCAGCTACTATACAGGAGGAAGAGGATGAAAACGGGTTCATAATGGCCAGCCTCATTCCAATAAGGGAAAGAGAAGTAGAAGATGGCTGGGTGGAATTTTACTGAAGTCATCAATAATCATCACCAGGAGTCATCACAAAGTATCATATTGACGGGCACTATAATCACTTAAGACAAAATTATTGTTAACACATCATACATAACAATAATAATTTTTCTTTTTTTTTGAGTAACAATAAGATTAATTAAATTCATTCTTAAAATAGCCGCAATATGCAATATTAAAAATAGCCTTACAAATAAGGAGATGCTTGCATGTAGAAGCTGTATAAGCTGTCTTGATCTTATCACACGTGATATTAGCAGTGATTTCACATAAAATTGCTTATTCAATGCTATCACATGATTCTAACCCATCTGACTATGGACTTATCTCATAGAGAAAAAGGTAAAATCAAAGTACTGCTAATAAAAGTTGTTATAGCTACAGCATTAATCACTCATTTTCTCCTTTTAGAATACAACATCTCAAGAAATAATGGCCTATGCGTGATTTTCAATAATGTCAACTTTAAAAATATGGAAAGAAGGCTTGGAAGCCATGAAGATTCCATACAAATCGCAGAAACATTCAGATCCTTGGGCTTTGAAGTGTACACACACATTGATTGCACTTGTGAACAAATGCGTTACTACCTTTCAAATTTGAGGAATGGACAAAATAACATCTCTTGTCTGTTCATTGTTTTTCTGAGTCATGGTGACAAGGATGGAATATATGGAGTGATGGAGGAACGCATCACATTCACCGAAATACAGAGTTGCTTAGTTATGCACTTGAGACATTTAGAAAATACGATTCCAGTAGTATTTATTTTTCAAAGCTGTCGAGATGGAGAAAGGCCAAGCAAGGATATAATCAAATACCCAAGACCTATCAGTGATCATTTCTTGTTAGTATTTGCAACACAGCCTCACTGCAAGGCTTATCGGGACCATGAAAAAGGCAGTCTCTTTATACAGTGTCTCTTAGCTGCAATAAAGGAGGAACCACAAGAGACAAACATGCTAAGTATCCTAACGCGCACTAACTGCCTGCTGGGAGAGTCAGAGTGGAACAAAGAGACTAATCAACGCCTTCAGTTTAATTCACTGTTGCTAAAAGATCTTCATCTACCAATTAGGTAAACTTACACTGACAAAAATTTATAGTTAAATGCTCTATGTACTTTTAGGAGACAGCTACAATATGGCCAACTAGATCGGGTAAGTAAAACAATTTTATTGTATTCAATAATTATTATTAATGACACAGAATTCTTGCAGCAATAGTGATGTCAGCACAGAGAGCACACAAGGAGAAGAAGAAAGCTCATTATATAGTAAACGTTATACATAATAAAATTCTACTTGCACATGATATTAAAACCAGTTATACGCTATCAGTAGTACCATTACTATGCAACTATGACTATGGTTACACCCAGCAGTCAGTAGTATGTAACAATTAGGACACACTTAAATGTTATTCATACATAATACTATAATGTTATTCATTTGAATATGTACATGAATCACTAATCTATATGTTTTTATATGTATAGGAACTATCAAGCCAGGATTTCCAACCACTATTCTCAAATGTGGGCTTTGCCTTATATTAAATAACAGCTCACATCACAAACAAGAAGCACATGACAAGCTGAAGAAGAAAATGGAGGAACAAGGCTACTGTGTTCTCTCCTTCAATAACATCAATTGGAGCAGCATGAAAATTTTGCTAGAAATGGCTAGTAAAGTTGCCTGCGAAAAGTTCTTGCTATTTGTGCTCAGTGAGGGAGAGCAGGAATTAGTATATGACACTAATCAAAAAGAGATAAAAAAGAGACAGATAATTGACTTCTTCATGGGTGCTGATAATCCAATGAGAGATACGCACAAGTTATTTTACTTTCAAACAACTATCAGTGAGCCAAATGGAGCAGAAGCTCAGAAAAAAGAGAGGAGTACAAGAGAAAGCTTTCTTCTTCCTAGCAACTCTATCTGCTATCAAATCTCATCAGAATCTTCACTCATACCTTGCTTTCTCAAAACTATGCAAGAGTACAAAGAAGAATTTACAAAGCTGCCACTAAGAGACATATTAGCCCATACAAGGAAGGAAGGAAAAAAGAGTGTTTCCCCAAAGGAAATTATATGCTTCCATGGCAGTTCAAATCCATCACATAATGAGCATGCTGCTGATATGACAGTACATTGCAACAAGTAAGAGTACAAACATACAGCAAATTATACATGTACATGCACATACAACACTTCCTTTTAATGCTCTTTCTTGATTTTTGTCTTTCTTAGAGAAGACATGTTGCTAGGATATTTGATGTTAGTACCACAAATTAAACTGACCATTAATCTCAAACTAAGGAAGATCTATACAAAAGAAGCTATCAGTGGAACAGAACAAGACACTTTCTTTTGCTTGTTCTTCTTTCATGAATATGATGACATCACCGGACAAAGTCTACAAACCTTTGAGGCAACATTAACAGGCCAGGCACAAAAAAGCAAAGACCTCATTAAAGCAAGAAGCATCTGCCTGATAGAGGAGGAACTACATAAAATTATTGACAATACAATCAAATCCTTTCCAGTAACAGAAGCATTAAAGCAAGAGCTTCACACTTACCAAATGTGTTCAAGGTGGACGATGACAGCTTTTTTTGAAAGCATGACTCAAACACAATGCACCGATCCTAAGGATGTGATGCGTGTCCACAGTGAGTATGCTGATTTCTCCCTTGGAGTGGTCAAACTTATAAGAAACGAATTAGAGAAAATCAAAGATCAAACTCCACACATCGATCAGCCATTAGAAGAGCAGAATAAATAAGCAAAGGCTAGTGATATGACCATATCAATTGACAGTCATCTCCACAAAAAACAAACTGCAATCAGTGTGAAAACAAAGGTACTACAGCAGGTACCATAGTGTACATGGACAACAGAGTCAATTTGTATTCAAGAAACATCAATTTACTATTAATATACATTCTATAACATTTTTAACTGAAAATCAAATTTTTGACAGTTATTGTTGGACTATTGTTCTTCTCCACAATGAGAAAATATATTCACGCAAGTAACTACCGGACATAACTAATCACTATTATAAGTTATTTTTAGGGATGATGTAATTTTGTGACTATTTTTACAGTTTTAATCTGAACTGCTATGTGTGCCACATTAACAAATAAGTCTTTCAACATTGCTCCATTATATACACCAGTTCATGTAGCTAGCACATATCTATTGCATGTACATATACATGTGCATTTGTTCATTTACCTGGATATGTGGATCAACTGGTAGTCTAATGAGCAAGTCTAATGAGGTAGTCTAATACAAGAGGTTGGGAAGAGAGAGGAACAAGTGATACCAGAATTATCTGTTTCGCCTAGTCATTGCAAAATAGTTCCCGGACTGCTAGTAGCATCAACTAGCAGTATATGTACTCCACAGTCCCTTGAAAGATCACCTCATTCGTCCTTAGAAAGTGGATCACTTGAGGGCATCAATATAAAAGTGAGAAGCTCAGAGAGTCAAGAATCGTTAACAGAACTACTTGAGCAAGTACCGAATGAAGTACTCAATGACGAAGAGTTTTTCTCGGACGAGGAGAGAGTCGATCGGGAAGAACTTTCGCTGACACTTCTCTGGGATGACACAGAAGTAGACAAAGAAGAAGTAGACAAGGAAGGAAAAGAGGAGGAGCAAGAAACTGTCACACACACTCCAGAGAAAGAGGAGAGAGAAACTTCTATACATACTCCATCAATAGTTTGTGTAGTGACAGTAGAAGGATGGGTGAATGTCAATACTAATATCAATGAGCCAGCTACTATACAGGAGGAAGAGGATGAAAACGGGTTCATAATGGCTACCCTCATTCCAATAAGAGAAAGAGAAGTAGAAGATGGCTGGGTGGAATTTTACTGAAGTCATGAATAATAATTATTAATACTAACATTAACAACAAATCACTTATTATGTACATTGCATATAATATTATAGATAAGATACAGGTTAATTTGAATGGTGATAATTTAAACCCATTGACATTTGAACTCTAGTAACATGCGTTTATTTAATGCATTTCTCGGAGAACAATAAGAATGATCATGTGCTTTATTTAGACAATGGTAAATGCATGCTAGGCATGGTTAGGGGGAGAAATGATAAAAAGCAACGTTAACAGTCAAATAAATCAGTCAGAGTCAGACCATATCAGCTTCAAACACAAAAGGCTTCACTATGACCATCAATAAAAGGGAGATTCAAGATAGATAAGAAGGTCATTGAGGAGTACCAGAGACCATGGGAAACAAGCAAAGCAGGAGTAGAAGCTCTTATGAAGAGGGGAATGGCTATGTCCTGATATTTAACAATGTGAACTTCACTACAAAAGAGCTTGAGACTAGGACTGGCAGTGATAGAAATGCAGAAGAAATCAAACACACTTTTGAGCAAAGGTGCTGCAGAGTCAAAACATTGAGGAACCGTACTACAATAGAAATGACTACAGCTCTTGAAAACGTAAAACGATACGAGGAAAAAAACTTCCTCTTTGTATTCTTTCTCACACATGGTGACTCATCTGGGGTATATGGAACAGACGGTGTATTGCTTCGATTTCAGGACATACAAAAGCAATTGACAGCTGGAAACTTTCCTGCCTTCAGTAGGAAACCAAAGATACTTGTGTTTCCGACCTGTCGCAAAGGAGAAAGAGAGGACTCGGGAACCAGAGCAGTAGAAGATGACTTCTTACTCGCCTTTGGCACCCAGCCTAATTCGTCCGCATATCGATTCGAAGAGGAAGGCTCTTACTACATCACACAATTATTATCCGTGATTGAAACAAGAGGAGATAGAGAGGATCTATTGTCCATGCTAACTGAAGTGAAGAGGGTGATGAGGGATCAACAGGACGTCGTACCACAAAACCCAGACTACCATAGCTCACTCACTGATAAAGTGTTCCTAAGACAGAAGTACGTCACTAATGGGAACTACATATAAACTCATCTTATAACATACATACATGAAGTAGTACACTAAAATTCCTAATTTACCATGCATGATTATTGTGATTATTTCTTTACAGGAAGTCCAGTGCTCAACTTATCACTGGGAAGAATAACAGACACAGAGAAAGGGCTGAGAATGCAGGGATAGAAGAAGAAGAGGAGAGTCAGGAGACTGTGTGTACTCCAGCTACATCCAGTGCTCTTAGCTCATATGATGTCGTCTCAGGAAAAACCCTGGATGCTGCTAAAATCTATAAGTCCAAAACAAAAACTGGCGATTCTACAAAAAATTCTTCGCCAAAAAGTAGCATTTCTTCCAGTGATGATGACACTGAAGTCTGTGAAGGCATATTTCCAGGTACAATTATGCACGATAATGAAATTACATGTAATTATTTAATGCTCTATCTAATAGATGATAATATTGATGCCACAGTCCCTTTTTATCCACCAGACCAAGACAGCCAACCAATTGAACAGGAGTTGCCAGCAGAAGCAGCAACTGAAAAAAGCAAGCAAGAATGGCTCGACGTTTCGGGTGATCATGACATTACCCCACAAGGAACTCCAGAAGATGAAATAACTGCTACACTTACCAAAAGCATCGGTAATACAAGGATATTAAAGTCAAAGGTGACCGAAGAGGGTTACATAGAAATAGTCAAGGAAATAAAGGAGCTAACTGTGGGGGAGATTGAGAATGATTGGATAGTCTTAGAATTAAGCTAGTTAGATCTTCGACTGGTTATTTATTTATTTATTTAATCAAGAAGACTTTCATTATTTATTTATTTATGAAAACTAGTACTCTTGCTTCTACCAACTCAAGAGCTAAGGATATCATTCATTTACAGCAGAACTGTCGTTCCCTGATGTTCATAATATACTACAAACTCAACTGCTATGAACATGTAGTTACTGTATTTTAATTTCATAGCAAATTTGTTTCGTTTTCTTACTATTAATTTTTTGCCGAATAAGAAAGCGGATATAATAGTTATTGTTTAAGTAGACAATGATCAAATACATTCATAAGATTGAAGTAAATGTATTACGTCATCTGTCATTATATTTATAGTAACAGCAATGGTAATACATCACAAACCACGCTAACATGATACAGTGGGCCCACTATCATAATGCTTGTTCATGCTGCCACAGCATATATTTACTATACAGCAATATCTATACTGCAGTAGTGCACTAATGACCAGAACATGTTCAAGTATATGTACCATGCAGCAGGTGCATGCAAACACATTCCATATACATGCACATGTAGCTACTTTACAATATTCATTGCACTTATGCATACCTGGATATGTGGGTCAACTGGTAGTCTAATGAGCTGCTTGAAACGTACTAGACCAACATCACCTTTAATGATACTCTGTAACTTCTCCATCTAACAATAAACAATAACAACTAACAATAATAACAACAACAAACAACAACAACAACAAGAACAAAGGACACAGTGCCATGTGTGATTAATGTTTCATCTTACTTTCTTTATTCTGTCATCCTTAGAAGCTAATAATGTTTTCATAAGTCCAGACAACTGATCCACCAGCTCAACCTGCTGTATTAACATTGCATACCTCTTCCTCCATTTTGGCCTTGGACTCTAAATATCATAATACAAATGTCTTGATGTTAATATTACAAAAATTTCAACATTTTCACTGTTTATATTTCACTGTTTTTAAATACTTATGTAATCATAGCAGCTTACGTTTCTTAAATCATCCAAAAATTTTGAGCGAATTGATTCGTATTTTTCTTTGGAGGCTGGGTCCTTGTCCTCCTGGCACTCAACGTATACATACCAGTGGAAATAGTTAGCTAATCTTGTGCTCCGACATGCCCTTGCTATCAGGAAACTAGCAAGGTCAGGAAACTAGAATAGAAAAGAAACTAATGTTTTACATGTACATATGTTACATAATTTGATTCAGATCAAAATTTTTGAATTTGAAAGTGCTTTAAAATTTGCATGGCCAAAGACCATGAACTATAATAGTACGGGGTATTTTGTTAAAAATAGATATCAGAAAATTTATAACTTTCCTCTAATATATATACATGGTCTTATGCTATGCTTCAAATTTGAGCAGATTCCAATCAAATTTGGTTTTTTATGAACTAATCTCATACTGTACAATTACCTCCACTTCAACCACTGAGGCGCTCATTAAGGTACTGCTGCTAAGATCAACTGATATTATACTCGACTCAAAACTAGCCAGCGGATTGATATAATCACGTCCCAAGACTGGGGGTGTGTCGGGACTCATGAGACCTCCAATTCTGCGAGACTCGTCTCCATCATCACTATCACTGTCACTGTTGGTCTCACGAACAGAGAGAGACACAAAACCTTTCTCCTCTTCATCGTCCTCCTTGAAAGCATCGGACAACTGAGCCTCTAACTGAGTGTGTGTAGCTAAATAAACAAATTAATAAAAATATTAAAAACTAGCAGTAATCTTAACACGCTGTGAACTGAAAGAAAACTCTCCAATTATCAATCCTCAGAAGTGAAACATTGATTACACAGTGTACGCGCTCGTTATTCCAAGGACAATAAAATTATGACAATTAGAAGTTACTAGACAAAACATCAATTCACTAACAAGCCATTACAACTAATTTGCTACCACATGTAAATAGGTGCAATCACACCATCATTCATACAGAGATGTACATGCATTACTTTATATGCATGTACATGTACATGCAACATGTATGTACATGTACATGTATCTTGGCAATAGCAATACTTCACATGATATCTTTTCTATATTACTGTCTAACAGTATATCTTATTGGGCACTAATTTCACTTAAATCCCCTATCGAAGCCAAAACAGACTCCAGCTGCCAATAGTAACGATTTTAAGAAAAAGACACAATTCATTACGACTAACATTAAGAGTACATACACTCTTACTAACATGTACATGTACATGTATGTATGTAAGTATTAAAACAGCAATATATTGCTGAGCTTAAGTGACCGCACTTTATAATGATTCCTACCTTCACTGTAAACCTGGTCTGCAACAAGTGTAGGCACAAAGGCAGAAGTTGCTCGCTCACTGAAGCTAGGGGTCTCGTACCTCAAAGCCTGTACCAGCTGCAATAAATACAGCAATAGTTCCTCGTTATCTGCACACTGTAATCTACTCATGGCATACTTTCGCACTCGAGGGTGAACGGGCGATTGGAATTTCGGCGTCAATAACTCTAGAGCTGCAGCTGGTTCTAGAGGCTGCCATTTAGCAAGCAAGTCCAGTGCTTCCTCAGACTCTTGGTTAGACCCCCAATCAACGCACTGAAGGAACTTAGTGAGGGCACCTTTATCCAACGAGAGGTAGTATCGAAACTGCCAGATCAGCGACTTATCGTCAGTGTTTAAAGACTGAGTCGGCGGTTGCTGAATGATTGCTTGAAGGCGTGTCTTTGTCTCTGGATTGGGTTTTAGCTCTAGCGCTCCGGAGCCGATACGTAGAGAGTGAGAGAGCTTGTGGTGTTTCGACTCGACGAGGTTCTCAAGGTTTTTATCAGGTTCTTGGACGACGCTGTAATCTGATGCAACTAGCGATTCGTCAAGTAGGTCACCATCAGGCTCAAAAAATATCACATTATACTCAATAGTATCAACGTGGAATTTAGGAAACTCTATCGTTAGGAAAATATAATTAGACTCTCGCTTCTCCCTCTCATTCACTTGCTCAATCTCACGAAAGGTCAGTCTATCAAGCCAGTCGACGGGCATCATACGACCTTTCCGATGCTGTTGGACTAGTTTAGCGAGTCTGTCCATCTCTGAGCCTTCCTGCCCTACAGGCAGGCCCGGGGTTGAATCCTGAAGACTACAGTCGGCCTCAGTCTCGGGCCAGAGTCTCAAGTCCCGGAATCCTCGCCTCAGACAACTGTGACGATTAAACAAAGACACGGTAGTACCACCGACTGGTGTTACCTCCCTAGGCCCTTGAATGTCATAGACTGTGAGTCCTAATATGGCATTACGAGGTAAGTCCTTGTAGCGGAGCGGGATCTGAAGCCATTCGTTCCAGTTCCAGCGTTTTGTAAAAGGCTTATAGCTCGTTCTAACAGGGAGACATAGCGGCTTCCCATTAGCATAGACTATGGCTTGTACGTAGAAATCAGAGTATTCACTGACGTACTGGCCTGAGAACTGGAGGAGAGGATCTGATATGACTGCATTGGCGTCTTTCTTTTTAATCTGACCTTCAAGAGTACCTCTGTGTTTAAGAAAAAAAGAAAATATAATGATAATGATATAAAGACGAGGTGAAAGAAGTGGAAAACAAGAGGTTTTTATTACATTTTTATCCTGATGGGATTGTCCAGCTCGCAGGAGTACACGTAGCAAAACTTATCGGAAGATTCCTGCAAGAAATTAGCCATTCTCCTCTTCTTTATCTTTTTTAGAACCTCAAAAACTGAAGGAAACTTAAGCCTTAATATCAAAGAGCTGCTTCTCTAGCCCCACCCATATAAATTAATATGGACCACACCCATAACACACGCCCAGAACATGGATATAAATTTTATTTCCTTGTTTTAATCTTCTGGAGGAGTCTTTAGGCATAGTACTTGCTGCTTAGAAGTTAGAACTCGAGAAAACTCCTGTGTCGGATCCCATTTTACAAGTATCTATTCTTGATCAGTTTAGTAGCGCGCCCGCGCAATTTTACATTGCTAGTTGCTAAGTTACAGTTGCTAAAATGCTGTTGCTAGGTTACAGTTGCTTAGTTACAGTTGCTAAGCTACTGTTGCTAGGTTACAGTTGCTTAGTTACAGTTGCTAAGTTACTGTTGCTAGGTTACAGTTGCTAAGTTACAGTTGCTAAGTTACTGTTGCTAGGTTACAGTTGCTAAGTTACTGTTGCTAGGTTATAGTTGCTTAGTTACTGTTGCTAGGTTACAGTTGCCAGGCTACAGTTGCTATGATACGGTTGCTAAGTTACATTTGTCACCCTGCCCACACAGTAAATTAAATTTAAAAATTTTTAAATCTTTAAAAAATAAAAAAAAATAAAAATGAAAAAAATTAATAATAAAAAACAAAAAAATAAAAAGCAAAATAAAAAACAAAATGGCAGTCAAAAAATAAAATGGCAGTCAAAAAAACAAAATGGCGGCACAAAACAAAATGGCAGCCACAAAACAAAAATGGCGGTCAAAAAATGGCGGCCACAAAATGATAAAAAATTTAAAATAAATGAATAAAAAACAAAGTGGTGGCCACAGACAAAGTGGTGGTACAAAAAAACAAAATGGCAGCCACAAAATAATGAAAAATATTTTTAAAAATAAATAATAAAAACAACAAATGGCGGCAACAAAATAGAATGGAGCCACAAAATAAAATTGCGGATATAAAACAAAATGGCGGCCACAAAAAAACAAAATGGTGGTTATAATTTATAAAAATAAAATTAATAATATTGTTATTTATTTATCACTAGGTTACCATTGCTACAATTGCATAGATATGTTGGAATCATGTCATCATCACGATACAGAAAATGAAATTATTTCCCAACTGTAAATCCAGGTATATATTATTTATTTGTGAATTGCTAATAATTAAAATACCAAACAAACATCAATTATTATCAATAAATAAAGAAAAATATTGCTGTTAAGTCTGTGCATTTAAAAACGAAATACAAAAAGTGAATTTCTGTTTAAATTAGCATTTATAACATAGTATCATCTGTGCCATCACTATACTTCTCCTCTAATATATTGACAGCTCTCATTGGAACTTGAGATGCAATATATGATCTATTATCCGCCATATATTGTATTGCTGGCCCTATCGATTGGTTGGTGATGGAAAGTTCTCCCACGTTCTGCTTTACATCATGTATGTCGGCCTTGATGGCTTCTAAATTTTGTCGGAATTTTTTAGTGTTCTTTTTGAATCTAAAACAGACAACAACTGCAAAAGATAAATGGAGTGTACATTAGTAAGTAGTACTGAGGTTAATATACTTACATATAATAAGAATAACGACAGCTGCTATAATCAAACTGACTGAGAAACCAACAGACAGACCAATAATCAGTGCCTCACTGGTAGCTACAAATTTTATGATGATAATAATAATAATAATAATAATAAGCAAGACAGTACAAGACAGTTTGAGCAAATTAAAAATTCATAAAAAATCCAAATTTGATCGGAATCAGCTCAAACTTTCTACACAACATAAGTACATGTATATACATCAGATAAAGTTATAATTCTCTCCTTTTCAATTTTGGTAAAATTTGGCCCATGACCCTGTACTATAGTACAGGGACTTTGGCCTGATTTTGAAGCAACTTCAAAAAATCGTAAAAAATCTAAATTTGATCAGAATCAGTTCAAACTTTCTACACAGCATAAGTACATGTATATGCATCTGGAAAAAATATTAAAATGAAGAATTCTTTCCTTTTAAATTTCGGCAAAATACCATGTACTATAGTACACGGAAATGCTGTGGGAAACCCGGATATAGCAGGAAATGTCTACAATATCTCTAGCTAGGAACATTGTACATAAAATAAACTTACATTGAGATTGTGTGGTGGTAAAAGTAACATTGTGTGGTCCTAACAAATTAATCCCATCACTTCCATTGTAATACACAACAACTGAAGCACTGTATGATGTACTGGACTGGAGACCAGTTAAAGAGATGAGTGCTGAGTCACTGTTTTCTGGATGAGTAGCTGTTCTGGTCATGATGTCATTAGTGGACCGAGCGTGATAAGTGATAGTAATGTTAGCAATGGCTGATCTAATGCATTGGGTGACTGTCACTGATAGTGTCACTGAATTGTCAGTTACTGAAGTTGCTGATACAAATAATGCAAGATTGCTACCAGCTGGGAAAAGAAGGAATAAAACACAGAGAGAGAGAGAGAGAACATTATTTCTACAATCTGCATACATGTAGTAAGACATAAAGAGGTTTGTATAAGTGACATATGTACTAAACATACATACACAACTGCTAATAAAGGCTAATCAACATTGCCTCTATTACAATACACAACCACACACACAGAAGACTATCATTTACTACTAAGTTTATTCTATACACATTACATTATGTAGACTCACTGAATATCAATGGACTAGAGCGATCACTAGATCCAGCACTGTTCACTGCACTCACAGTAACTGCTGACGCCCCACAAGAAGGTACAGTGAAGGTACTATTAGTCTGTGAACCAGAGACCATCTTCTCAAACTGTAATACACCAGAAATGATGATCACAAATGTAGTTACAGGCGGTTCTAGACAATCAATAGGACTATCGAGCTAATGGTAGAGAAAGAAAGAGAAAAAAAGAGAGAGAGAGGGGGAGAGAGAGAGAGAGAGAGAGAGAGAGAGAGAGAGAGAGAGAGAGAGAGGGAGAGAGAGAGAGAGGGAGAGGGAGAGGGAGAGAGAGAGGGGGGTAATATTACAATGTACATATGTCAATGAACAATGTTTACCTGCCATTGTACAAATATGGTGCTAGTTGTATTTGTAAAGCTAATACGAACAAGGTCAACAAGCATTGGGACAGGAGGCTCTATAAATCAACAAAGAAAGTCAACAAAGCATTATACATGTTCAAGCATACCACTAGTGACAATAGTCCTTTGGAATTGAATGGGGCTACCACTTCCAGCACAATTTACAGGAGATATGCTGACAGTGTATGTAGTATCACTACTCAAACCAGTGACAATACTACTGACACCATCACTAATCTCCTGTGGAGAGAAAGAAAGGGGAGAAGGAGAGAGGGTCACTAGATAATAGTCCAGTTGTGGAGTCCCAAGGTCATTGATAGTATCAGTCCAATTGAAAGAGATGCTGTCATAACAGACATCAATTACATACACTGACATTATGGGGTCAGGCACAACTATAGGAACGTGACAAATAAGAAACATATATAGTGGAAGTGATAACGATTTTTTATAAAATAAGATTAGTTAAAAGTTATGCAAATCTCAAGTGAAAACAAGTAAAAGCATCATTTAATGGATAGTACAGGAAGTTTGTTTAATGCTGATGCAAAGAATTGCTTACACATTATCAATACTGCAAGATCAACAAAAGCCATAACAATTATTACAACACTAGGACTCAATCAAATAGCTATTAATCAATCATAAACTCACCTCTTATAGACATGAATAAACTAGACGATAAACCATTTGTGACTGCAGTGTGACAACTTATAGTAAAATCGTTAACAGCAGATTCAGTACTAGCAATAGATTCCACTAATAGATCCAATGCTATTACATTAGTCACTGAAAGCTCAAATATCCCTAGAGTTGTAGTTTCTCCTAGTCTAGCAAGTGACGAACTTTGTCCATTGTCCGTTCTCCATACGACTATACCAGTGGTTGACTGACAAGTAAAGGTTACCAGAGTATTAGGACAAATAGTGACATTGGTTGAGTCGTTGGTGACACTCTGTATTAGACTAACTATAATGGATTGAAACAAGTAATTTGTCATGCAAAATTAAACTCTTATTAACTAAGTATGCACTAATGAGAAATTAATAGCATTTAAATAACTCCCACTACTTACTCTGTGGTACAACTGGCTTGATAAAAATACTAATACTATCTGAGGATCCATCATTATCGAAACACGCCAATGAGGTATTCACTGATGCTACGGTAGTAGCTATGGATACAGTCAAAGAATCATTGTATATACTCTCTAGCAATATTATAGAGAAATCCCCAAGTGTCGTAGGATTTAGAGTAGCTATTTCATTGTTACCATCTTCTATCTGCCATAAGATGACGCTAGTGTTTGATGCACATGTTAACTGGACCACTATGCTTGGAAAAACAGTGACGTCATCTTCACTATTAGTGACATTCTGAGTCAGGGTGACTGTAAGAGATGAAGAGAGATACTATTATAATAATATTATTTTAATTTTTATCTCAGTATAGTACAAATGAGCACTTTTTGTACAACACGTGAAAAAGTACTAAAGCTCTATATATATATACAATAAAAGTGAATTAGGTGCTAATTGACACAATGAACTCACTTGTACAAGTAACACTACAGCAGAACAGTAAAATACAGACAAGACACGCTGTAAAACACGCCGAAAGTAAAGAGGTCATACTCATCTTTGTCTTTTAGAAAGAATAAGAGAGAGAAAAAGGGTTACTTTCTGTGAGAGCCGGTAGTTGGACACATGATCAATGCAAAAATGACAAGATCATCATAGAGGTGTGGCGGCTGTGGCTAATTAAATATTTTTAATAATAATCTCTCTTGTCTAAACTAAACTGCAAAACACACAAAAAATAATTGTTTAAACTTTATACACAAATGCATGTATCTAGATCTATGAAAAGTTCTATGCTCTACTCCAAACAACATGTTGATCAGAAGCAACATGCTGCCTACTACCTAGTGCATAGGGAGAAGTTTTAAACTTCTTCATTATCAGAAGAAGAGAAAGAATAGTTTATTCTGTGCTCTTCATCTTGCTCAATGTATCGAATAATATGATCCTCAGCAATTCGACTAATAGGAATCTCAACCTCTCTCACACGTAACTTGTATCTTTTAGCAAGAAATATGAAAAGAAGCAGAAGTAAGAACGACAACACAGACAGTGTCAGCAAGAAATAAAAACCTCTTCCAAGTGAAAAGTCTGAGCTCATGTATTGAAGAAATGGCAGAAATATAATATAGTTCAAATCACTCCTTAAGACCCTAAGGCAAAACCACAGTCCAATCATAGTTCCTCTCATTGATTTAGGGCATTGAGCTAATATAAACTCAACTGCAACAACATTGTTGATGTACCAAACGATAGCTTGAATAACTTCATCGAAATACATCCATTTTTGTGGTTTGGGTAATGATTTGAATTTATCAAAAACAGTAAGACAGTGAAACATCTCTCCAAATTGATAGTTTCCAATTATTGCTAGACCAGTGTAAAGACTGTTTACAAGAACTATTAGTATCAGACCCATTCCTATTCTTTTTAGCATACTAGGAATGTACTTCCGAAAATATGATTGCCTTAAAATCAATAGCATAAATATTAGAAGAAATATATATGCTATGGTCCATGCCTCTCTTCCTTCGAAACAACCATATACCTTTGCACTCATACTTACAGCATATAGGCCATAAATAGCTCCTAATAAACCAAATATGAACACAAGTGGGAATAATCTAAGAGCAGTCTTCACATCTTCTACCTCTTCCTCTGTGAATGGTCCACCATATTTATCCTTACCCAGGTCTAGTCTTGAAGGAGCCTCTTCCTCCCAGTAGGTCAGAGCACTACGATTCTCAGGATACTTGTGCTTCCTGGCATAGCACAATACTCTGACTATCAGTTTGACTGGATTAACTGTATTCACTGGAGTAGTTTCAAGATAACGATTGAAGAGACCATGACTGACTAATACTGCAGTAACACAAACAATAATTTTGCTCAACCAAGCTATTTGCACCAAAAGAAGGGAACTGGCATTAATAATAATAAAAGGAGCTACTAAAGGTCCAAGATTATGCCAGTGTATGATAGCAGTTAATTCATCACTTGATGATCCAATGAGCTGATCAATATTGAATGGTAACAGATTGACACGTGCAGCTCCAATTGTAATAAATAGAGTAAAGCAAAGGGTTTTAAAAATCAGCAAGGGATAGCCAGTTGACATCAGTTGTAGTGAGACCATTAGAAGCAAAAAGATGAGTAAAACAAATGAAGAATATAATCCAGCAAGAATCAATCTGTGGCGGCTTATTAAAAAATCTCCCAAAAATCCAGCAACAACAAAAGCAAAGGAGAGCCCAGTTTCTACCTTTCTACCATTAGCATGATCAATGAATGAAATACTTATGATATAAAAATGAGCTATTGCAATCAATAGATCCCAGAACAAAACCAAAACAGCTCTTTTTGAGTGCAGTAACAGGAGACAAAAAAAAGAAAGACAAGACAAACATCTTCTTTTAACTGATGAAGATCTTAACAAAGGAACACTCTCAGACATGATAATAGCAAAAGTGAAAACTGTCCGTTTGTAGAAGTATTATATGAACAAGCCTGACAATTATACAGTTTATTCAAAGTAACGATAAAATTTACACAAACTTATTCACAAAAAGTGACATCAATAACTTTCAATGTTAACTTTTAAAATATTGCTTGTTACTATAGGGAAATTCAAAGGCCATTCTGCCAAAAGAGCATCTTTGAAGTCTCTGATGTAGCAATATCATGTGGATTTTAATAAAATTAGTCAATCAGACATGTGCCAAAACTGCTGCTTTATAGTGATCTGTGCTCAACTGAAGAAAGTAAATTTATTTGCCTACCTTCCTCAATAAGAAAATATAAAAAGTTTTATATACAAATCATTTGAAACATAATGTGCATGACATTAATGCTACTTATTAAAAATGATAAAATTAAGATAGAAAATTTTAAGCAAACTAAAAATAAGGTTTTCATTTGTGTCACCACTGGCAACTATTGGTCAGAAACTTTTGTGGTAAAGCATGTAACATAAAAACTCTATTCTAGACAAACTAAGCTTGACACTACATCAAAGTTGCAGGCAGCATGGTGGGAGGGGAGAGACTAAACTTCTTCATTATCAGAAGAAGAGGAAGAATAATTAATCCTGTGCTCTTCATCTTGTTCAATGTATCGAATAATATGATCCTCAGCAATTCGACTAATAGGAATCTCAACCTCTCTCACACGTAACTTGTATCTTTTAGCAAGAAATATGAAAAGAAGCAGAACTAAGAATGACAATACAGACAGTGTAAGGAAGAAATAAAAACCTCTTCCAAGTGGAAAACTTGGGCCTATGTACTGAAGAAATGGCAGAAATATAATGAAGTTCAAATCACTCCTCAAGATCCTTAGGCAAAACCACAATCCAATCATAGTTCCTCTCATTGATTTAGGGCATTGAGCTAACATAAACTCAACTGCAACAACATTGTTGATGTACCAAAAAATGGCCATAATGACTTCATCAAAATATACCCATTTTTGTGGTTTGGGTAATATATCATAAACAGTGAGACAGTGAAGCATCTCTCCAAATTGATAGTTACCAATTATTGCTAGACCAGTGTAAAGAATGTTTACAAGAACTATTAGTGTCAGACCCATTCCTATTCTTTTTAGCATGCTAGGAATGTACTTGCGAAAATATGATTGCCTTGAAATCAATAGCATAAATATTAGAAGAAATATATATGCTATGGGCAATGCCTCTCCTCCTCCTTCGCTACAACCATATACCTTTGCACTCATATTTGAAGTATATAGGCCATAAATAGCTCCTAATAAACCAAATATGAACACAAGTGGCAATAATCTAAGAGCAGTCTTTACATCTTCTACCTCTTCCTCTGTGAATGGTCCACCATATTTATCCTTACCCAAGTCTAGTCTTGAAGGAGCCTCTTCCTCCCAGTAGGTCAGAGCACTACGATTCTCAGGATACTTGTGCTTCCTGGCATAACACAATACTCTAACTATCAGTTTGACTGGATTAACTGTATTCACTGGAATAGTTTCAAGATAATGATTGAAGAGACCATGACTGATTAATACTGCAGCAATACAAACAATAATTTTTCCTAACCAAAATATTTGCGCTAAAAGTGAGGAACTGGTATTGATAAAAATAAAAGGAGCCACTAAAGGTCCAAGATTATGCCAGTGTATGATAGCAGTTAGTTCATCACTTGATGATCCAATGAGCTGATCAATATTGAA